GTGTGCTAGATGTACATTAAATTACTACACGAAATACTGTTAAATTCTAAAAATATATTTATATTAAATGGTTTTTTATTTTTTTTTAGCCACCTGGCTACTGGGATACGCATTTAACGGTTATAGTTTTCACTTTGAATTAAATTTGATAAGGGCCCCAAGAGCAAATTACTCTAATTTATTTTGTTGGGCTTAAACTAATATTAGCAGGGCACGTGACAGCACACGGAGTCCGTCGTGTACGGCCTTGCCTTTCAGAGGGGTGATATGACAAAACTGTTGTTTTATGTACAACCTATCTACCAAAATGCCAATAAGAGGAAAGATGAGATAGGCACACAGTGGCACGTGCAAACTCCTGCTGCCAGTTTCAACTTTTAGGGGGAGGACAGTACTGTACTTTCCTTTCGATTTGTGACGTTTGTAGTTTTAGAGTATGTATGTGACAAATTCTATCATGGAGTAATTAAATTTAGAAAATGATATAATTGTATTTTTTTTTTACCGACTACGATCTGGGAATTAGTGATCGAGAGATAAAGAAAAAGTTTTGCTGTTTTTAAAATTTGAAAAGAGTTTTTGTTAATTTATTTTTAATTAAAGTAATTACAAAATTGCTAGGTTTTTGTAACATTGCTTATAGGGGTAGTTGTTTTGTGGGATTGGTAAATTGTTTGAACTCTCAATCAAGAGAACACAAATTTGAATCTTGATACGAATTGAAAGCTTCAAATGGACGCTTATAATTGGTTTGTCTTGGGGTGTTTATCAACTTAAGACTGTTTCTTATGTAGGCTAGTTTTTTAAATAGAAGGTCAAATGTTTAAATCTGTGAAGGGGCATGTGAATGTCTGAGTTTATTCAATTAATTAATAAATTAATTTTTTAAAAGAATTAATAATCATACGGTTCTACTATAGTTCAATACCTCCTCAGTCTTCAAATTAAAATGCTGATGAAACTAAAAAAAAAGGTTGATATTTAAGTTCAGGATAAAGTAAGTCTTTGAGTGAGATAGAGATTTAAGTCTAACGACAACATGGATGAATAGGGGTGTAAATTATTTGTGAAGAAATAAGATATATATATTTATTGTTGGGTTGAGGACAATAAACATTTTTATGGTATGTATATATGACATATAACTCTTTACATGGTTTTAAAAGTTCATAATCTTTACTTTTGAAGCGAACAAGAGTTGTCAGTGGAGGGATTAAAAGACTAAAATGCACTTATGTAACTGATTTAAAAAGTTAAAAAAAACTAAGTAAATGTAAAATGACTGAAATGCCAAGAGAAAATGTGATATATATATATATATATATATATATAAGGTATAACGAGTATTTTGTGGATAGCGAAATGGTGTTTTAGTAATTTTCTAACTTAAAATAGTTCTAAAAGGTCATTTTCTGACATTAAGCCATTATTTGTCACATTTTTCAACATTATCGGGGTTATATAACCAAAATAAAGAATATAGATATTATTTGTCCAAAAAATAAATATTAGGGATATTTTTCTCACTTTGTCCTTTCTTCTTCGTCTTCTTCTTATTATTATTTTTTATCTTATCTCATTTTTAAAACAGTAGCGCTATAGGGGTACATCAGGCCTTTTAAATTAGAAATTAGAAGTGTGAGGATTTAATCTCCTTGGACGCAAAGTGAACCAGCGAATTTCTTGTGAAAAAAAAAAAAAAAAAAAACAACTTAAGGACTGCTTAGTTTACTGAAAACAATCTTTAAAAATTCACAAAACAAAAATTTATTTTTAAAAAATTATAAAAACATGTATTTTGTATTATTGAGTTTTCATAATTCGGAACCAAGCAAGACCTACTTTCAGTGTGTTTGGATTGATAGGGTTAAAAAAAAAAAAAAAAAAAAAGGAAGATAGTATTAGTTAGGAGAGAAAAGAAAAGAAAATAAATGATACTAATAATTTCTATATGTGGTTGGATAGATAGGAGAGAAAAGAAAAAAAATGATAGCTATTCTTGTTTGGATAAAATAAAGGAGAGAAAAGAAAAGAAAAGATAGTGACTAAATTACTGTCCTATCCTTTCAGAAAAAAAAATATAATTATTATTCTTGTTTGGGACATAAATGGAATAATTTTTGTGTATATTAATTTGTGAAGGGTATTTTTGGTATTCCTAATTAATCACTTACTCCACTATCATTTCTCTCCCTATCTTTTCAAATTGGGTTAATTTCACTAACACTCCTTCAAGTTTGCCCGAATATCACCTTCAAATATATGTCGAAAATAATTATCACTAACTTTGGCTCTGTTTTTCACTCACACCCCAACCGTTAGTGGAACAAATTTGACACGATATAAAATGACTTAAATACCCTTTGAATTTGTCAAAACAATCTTCAACCTAAATAATTAAATTAAAAGACTAAAATACCCCTAAAAATTTGTAAATTTACAAATTACATATAAAGATATACACATATATATAGATACACACAAACATAGATACACACAGAGCATCTGCCATCGCCATCGTCGTCGCCACTACTGCCCACACAACTCCAGCCCATCACCAATATATATACACACAAACATAGATACAAACAGAGCATCCGTCATCACCGCCACCCACACAATCCCAGCCCATCACCAATATATATACACATAGACATAGATATACACCACAGAGCACCCGTCATTGCTATCGTTGCCACCATTGCCCACACAATCCCAACCCATCACCAGTTGCCGTGGCCTTCACCCATACAATCCAAATCCTAACCCATCACCATCCGTCGCAGCCACCACCCACACCATCACCAATCGTTACGCCACCACCCACACAATCCCAATCCCAACCCATCACCAATCGTCGCCGCCACCACAACCACCACTGCCCTAACCCATCACCAATCTCATTGCCATAATCTGCAAGACTCATTAAACTCTTATTTCAGCATCTTCAACTCTAGTTTAAGAATCTCGCTTTCTTGGCCGCCGAAGTCTATGACACCTTTCGGTTTTATGTCTACCCAAATATTGTTTTTATTATATGTCGCTCGAATCTGCAAAACCCATCCACCGCCATCACAACCACCTCTGTTTGCTATAATTATGCAACAAAGATTGATATGGTAATTTGATATGGATTGATATGGTAAACTATAACTTCTTTTCCTCTGTTTGCTATAATTATGGAGGCGTGGAGGGACGAGAGAGAGAGACAGAGAGAGAGGCGAGTGTGTGGGTCACTAGGTTGTGGTGGTTGGTGTGTGAAATAATAAGGGGGTATATATAGTAATATGATAAGGACAATACTTGCATCTAACCCAGGTTGGATGAAGTTTATCTAACCTGGGTACGTGGCACAATCAGGGCATGACAAGTGTCCATTACACTATTCAACTTAAGTTGGATAATACCCAACTTAAATGGGTTTGACCCGACAGAACAAATTTTTTTTTTGTTTTTTCAGAAGATCGCTCCCTACCTCGTATCTTTCCGTCGCTGCCACCACCACCACCATTCTTGACCTCCTTTCTCTTTCTTTTATCTCTCACCCAGCCAACAAACCCATCTAACGCCATCTTTCTTTCACTCACCTAACCAGTGAACCCAATTAAAAAAAAAAAAAAAAAAACCTATTTCATCATTAATCTTTCTCACCCCCAAAACCAGTAAACCCTTATACAGATATATATATATATATATATATATACACCACAACCAATACCGGCGAGCTGTCGGCGCAAGAAATGGCGTCCTGGCAGTTACAGGAGATGACGGCGGCAGGGCAGACGACCTACCATGGTGACGAGATACCGGACGACGACGGCAAGGTTGATTGGTAACTCGTCCTGACCCAATGGAGCGCCGCTACTGGGAATTTAGCCAATTCCGCCGTCAAATCAAAAGACGATGATGGCTGATTCGTTCTTCGATTTGGGGATTTCGGTGATGAATCAATAGCACAAAATGGAGTCTAAACCTAACCCTAGATTCTGACAACTGTGTGATCTAAACGGAGAGAGAAAGCTCGCAGGGATGCCGATTGTGGGTGGTGCAGGGAAGGGGTGGAGATGGTTGTTTCGTATGGTGGGTGAGCAGTGGTGGAGGGGCCGATTGTGGGTGGTGGTAGGAGGTTAGAGAGATGAGAGGACCGACGGTGGCGGTAGTCATGGTCGGCCACCAACCCTACACCCAAATCGAAGCCATCGCCGTCGGCAATGAGGTCTTCGTCAATTTGGCCGTGGCTCTACCTCGCTGCCGAGTCAACTCATCTCCAACAGCCACCAATCCAACACCACTCGCTCTATCCTTTCCATACTCTTCTTAGGCCACCTCGGCGACAACAGATTACACCGCCGACCTCAACGCCGGTTGCTTCTTCGCCAATAGCCACCAAATGAGAATCGGATCTGAGGGAAGATGGAGGAGTTGACTCGACAGCGAGGCAAGAGAACGGGTAATATCGGAAAATTGACGGGCAATATTCAACAGAATTTTATATTATTTATGACATGTGTCATGACTTGAACGGGCCATGTACCCAGGTTGGACAAACTTCATCCAACCTGAGTTGGATGCAAGTATTGTCCATCTGATAATTGAGATTAGATGAGATTAAAAAATTTAGGGCAAAAATATCTTTTATATATTTTTAACGAATTCTGTAACGAAAAAGTAAGAATGATTATTATCGAAAGATATTTGAAGTTAATATTCAGCCAAATCTAAAAGAATGTGAGTGAAATTAACCCTCTCAAATTATGTGAGAAACCAAATGAGGGAGAGGCCCTATCTTCTCTTTTATCTCCCCATTCTTCCAAATCAACCTTACCCAACACACTCCCATCCTATCCCTCCAAATCAACCCTACCAAACACACCCTAGTCTCATATTTTCTATGTTAATTATCCTTTTATTCAGTCGTTGAGAATGAGAGGCAAACGCCCGATATGTGAACTGTTTTGAAATAGCAAGCAAACAGGTTTTTCTAGTACTCCAAATTTGTTCTTTTGGTATTGCAAATTCCTTGTATGGGCAGTGTGGTTTATCATGCAGGGCTAGGGTTGTCATCATCCCATTCACGACTAAGATTACCCAGTTTTAGAATTGCAAGTTTGATTGAACCCAGTGTGTCATCAAGATGGCAAGTCTTGGAACAAGTTGACAAGGAGCTAAGAAAAGGGGGTGAAAGAGCTGCACTTTCACTTGTCAAGGATTTGCAGGCCAGACCTGGGGGTCTGCGTTGTTTTGGTGCTGCAAGGCAAGTTTGATTGCTTCAGTTTTTTTTTTTTTTTTTTTTCGAATGCTACCCATTTTAATGTTTGTTCTTTGTATTTGAAATGTTGAAGTTTATAGCTTTGCAATTTGGGATTTTTAATTAAATTGTATTTCACCCATGTGTGCTATGGAAGACTCTAATGACCCCCACAAATGTTAAGCAAATGAAAATTTTGTTAGAATTGCCCTCTGAGCTATGAATTTTTTTTAAGGATTAATGAAATGATCTTCACCCATGTGTTATTGAGGAAGGTTCTAATGACCCTAGAAAGAAATTGCTTTTTACTTGGTGTTCTTTTAAGGAACTAAAATTTAATTAGAATTGCTCATGACTGATGATGTGTGTTTGATTAGGAATCAATGAGGTCCTAACTCCTAAGTCATTGGATCATTCTATAATGTACTGGTTTATAATTTATAGAGAGCATGGTTTTCAGATTCTTATTTAGATGTGTTGTGAACCAGTTATGGTATATATGGGTGGCACCGAGCTTGCGCTTGGTTAGAGACAGTTTCAAGCAGCATCATTAGGAGTTTACCATTTCTACATGAGAATGCAAATGAATCACTATAAACTATGATAAGCGCATATGTTCTTTCTGTTGGGAAACGTGTTAGTTTTAAAAACTTTTTGAGGGATTTTAATTCATAGATCTTGATTCATCACATAGAGACAAATTTTATGCAAAAAAAATAAAAATATGATATATCATTCAATTAATGGATTGAATACTTACATCAAAGGTCTGAGTAAACCTTTAAATCTTTCCTCTAAAGTGAATGTTCTCACTTATTGTAGATCCCTTAGCAAGATGCCTTCTCCTTGGATCTCCATCTTCTTAGTAATGGTCTTGCCTTTAGGAATCACTCATAAGCCTCCATGAATGACCTTGGAAAACTAGGCTTGTGGGAGCCTTTATTAGATGAGAACATAAACCCTAATTTTCTAGAGAGAGAAAATAAATTCCTTTTTCCTCTCATTAAAAATCACCCACCAAAATATACATAGACCATGTATATTTATAGGCAACATAAAAATAAAGAAAAGGAAACAACAAATCCTTCTCCATCTCTAATTCATATGTCTCAAATCTAATATGATTTCAATATCAAGTTGGGCTATGAGTGAGAATCCATTGGGCCTATTATTTTATTGGCTACAACGAATTAATAATTGGCCCGGTCCATGGACCCAATTTAATTAATTCATAAATTAATTTCTACTCCACTAAAAGAAATTAATTGAACTCCAATTAAATAATAAATAACCTCTAAGTCAATATTGCACTTTGACCCCTCTATGCATAATTAGTTATCGGATAAATAAAGCCATCAATCCGATTACTTAATTAATATATCTATTTTGGTACCTCTGATTATTTCTGGCTCGATCACAATAAAACATTTGTTTGACAAAAATAATAATTTAAATAAATATATATATAATAAATCATTTTGTCTAAAAACACACGAAGGCCTTCGAATTTAGTTTGTGATCAGCCATAATCAATACAAAATAAATACAAGTAGCAATGATGCAAATATTGAAAATATAATCCTCTAACTATTAATTACATAACTACCCAAAGTGTCGGTCTAAGGATCCCGAAGAATCCACCGAACAAATCAAAGTAATTATTAATTAATAAAAGAGTCTATACTTTTCTCATGCTTAAGAGTCAAATGCCATGACGGTGATAGGGAGTAATTGCATACGACGGCTCTCGCAATATATCTCAACCTAACGCGGATCCAGTTCAAGTCTTAATTAATTATGAGTCCATCCATAATTACCGACTATGAACAATTTATAATTACTATTTATATATCATGCATTGATTGCCATCACATACATATATATAAATATTTCTTGTAATTACATGGACACTATCAATCTCATAGTGAATCGAAACATAATACATTGAATTCACCAATTATATAAATCATAAATATTTTAGATATGTCAGAACATATGTCATTATAATCCGGATAGAAATTTGTTATGCCAGGGCCTATAAATCCCAACACTTTCTCGCAATTTATGATATTTATCTTACAACAACGCGGAGCTTGGTATACTGAATGAGTGGATTTACTGCACAGGTACCCCAGAGGCTCTTCACCTTGGATGAACTAAAACTGAATGGAATAGAAACTTCGTCTATTCTATCGCCAGAGGATGCAACTCTTGGTTCCATAGAAAGAAACCTGCAGCTTGCAGGTGTCTTAGGAGGAATTTCTGCATGGAATGTGTTTGGATTTAGCACGCAACAAATCTTCTATTTCTCCTTGGGATTGTTGTTTCTATGGACACTAGACTCGGTAACTTATTCATGTTTATCTGACTTTCACTGTTGATCCATTTCGTTATAGAAACATGTTGCCTTAGTTGGGCAATATTTCACAAACGCGAACGGACTTATTTGCATTCAGTTGTGGAGATATCTTGTTTGCTTTACATTCCTTTTGCCCAATAATAACCTTGGACACCATTTGGGTAGCCTTGATGTAGAAAGTTGGAATCTTGTAGATTTCTTTAAATAGTTTATGACTTCTATTTGCATGTGAACTTTGAAGGCTATGATGAATTACCCCATGTCCTAACCTTTTCCCGAGAATCGTATATTAAAGAAAAAGAAGAAGACTAGTTTTGTGATCATCTGCTGGAATTACATTGTTAGTTGTTTTACATGTAATAGATAAAAACACAAACACTGGATTTGCCAAACCTCATGATCATGTCCCTAACTTTTTTAGAGTTGAGCCTAATCCCTATGGGTGCACAAAATTACTCGCAAACTGTCTGCATCTGATAAGGATGAGGAAAGTTCAACTTGGGATGAGCTTCTTCTTTTCTTTTTTCTTTTTTGTTGAAATCCTTGTGTTTGATTTTAATGACTGACTCAGATATCGCTGTTGGGAAACGTGCTAGTTTTAAAAACTTTTCGAGGGATTTAAATTCATAGATCTTGATTCATCACTTAGAGACAAGTTTTATGCAAAAATAAAACATGATGTATCATTCAATTAAAAGATTGAATACTTACATCAAGGTTTGAGTAAACCTTAGATCTCTCCTCTAAAGTGAATGTTCTCACTTATTGTAGATCCCTTTTGCTAGACACCTTTTCCATGGATCTCCATCTTCTTGGTAATTCTTTTGCCTTTAGGAATCACTCATATGCCTCCATGAATGACCTTGGAAAACTAGGCTTGTGGGAGCCTCCATTAGATGAGAACATAAACCCTAATTTTCTAGAGAGAGAAAATTTATTCCCTTTTCCTTCTCATAAAAATCACCCCCTAAAATATACATAGACCATGTATATTTATAGGCAACATAAAAATAAAGAAAAGGAAACAACAAATCCTTCTCCATCTCTAATTCATATGTCTCAAATCTAATATGATTCCAATATCAAGTTGGGCTATGAGTGAGAATCCATTGGGCCTATTATTTTATTGGCTACAATGAATTAATAATTGGCCCGGTCCATGGACCCAATTCAATTAATTCATAAATTAATTTCTACTCCACTAAAAGAAATTAATTGAACTCCAATTAAATAATAAATAACCTCTAAGTCAATATTGCACTTTGACCCCTCTATGCATAATTAGTTATCGGATAAATATAGCCATCAATCCGACTACTTAATTAATATATTTATTTTGGTACCTTTGATTATTTCTGGCTCGATCACAATAAAACATTTGTTTGACAAAAATAATAATTTAAATAAATAAATATATAATAAATCATTTTGTCTAAAAACACACGAAGGCCTTCGAATTTACTTTGTGATCAACCATAATCAATACAAAATAAATACAAGTAGCAATGATGCAAATATTGAAAATATAACCCTCTAACTATTAATTACATAACTACCCAAAGTGTCAGTCTAAGGATCCCGAAGAATCCGCCGAACAAATCAAAGTAATTATTAATTAATAAAAGAGTCTATACTTTTCTCATGCTTAAGAGTCAAATGCCATGACGTTGATAGGGAGTAATTGCATACGACGGCTCTCGCAATATATCTCAACCTAACGCGGATCCAGTTCAAGTCTTAATTAATTATGAGTCCATCCATAATTACCGACTATGAACAATTTATAATTACTATTTATATATCATGCATTGATTGTCATCACATACATATATATAAATATTCCTTGTAATTAACTGGACACTATCAATTTCATAGTGAATTGAAACATAATACATTGAATTCACCAATTATATAAATCATAAATATTTCAGATATGTCAGGAACATATGTCAATACAATCCAGATAGGAATTTGCTATGCCAGGGCATATAAATCCCAACAGCTCCCACTTGCCCTCATAGCCAATTCAAATTGCACCTAACTCCAATGTTATCCAGATGATGATCAAAATTATTGATCAATGACACCTTTGATAATGGATCAACAAAGTTGTGTTCCAATGCAATGTTTTAACTACAAGTGCATTTTCTTGCCGGACAATATCATGTCGAACATGATACTTCCTCTCAGTGTATCTTGTTCCTCTATGAAACCTTGGGTCATTGGTTTGGACTACTTCTGCACTATTGTCACAATATAGCTCGATAGGCAGGCTAGTATGCTCCACAACCTCTAAATCAGTGAGATCAAACCAATAGGCTTATATTGCCACCTTTAAGGCTGCAATATGTTCCACCTGCAGGTTTGAGTCAACAGTTGAAATCTGCTTGACAATCTACCAACTGATTTCCCTTCCATTAAGTGAACATACACTAAGTCATGAACCTCATAGTATCTACTTCTGATTGAAAATCAGAACTAGCATACCTGACTAGGACCATATCATCACATCCATAAATGAGTATGATATCATTGATTCTTCTTAGGTACTTAATGATATTTTTCACAATAGACCAGTTGTCAAGTCCAGTATTGGACTGATCTCTACTGACTATCCCTACCATGTAGCGGATGTCCTGTTTGGTATAGACCATGGCATATATGAGACTCTCATATGCCGAAACATATTGTTCCAGTCTCATTTGCTCAATATCCTCTGCTAGTCTTGAAAAACTACTTACTAGAGAGAGCGATCCATATCAATAAAGCAAGAACTCATTCTTTGAGTTATGCACACCAAACCTGGTCAAAACTTTATCAATGTAGGATTATTAAGATAAGCCTATTTTCCTTTTAACCTGATCTTGCAAAAGCTTGATCCTAGGAATATAGCTTACATCTTGAAAATCCTTCATTTAAAAGTAATTGAACAACTACCTTATAATTGATGACAAAACTTCCACGTCATTATAAATGAGTAGGATGTCATCAATATATAGAATTAAGAAAAATAATGACATTCTCTTGTATACTCATGATTTATTCACTAAGAAATCTTCTGGTATCTTTTTGTAGATTAACTTGCCTTCCATAGGAATCACCCTACTAGAAAGTTCTACAAGATCCCAGAATTTATTAGAATACATAGATTCCAACTCTGATTTCATAGTAACTCACCAAAACGATCTGTATCCACATCAGTTCACGCTTCCGTGTAGCTTACTGGGTCCAACTCATGTTTAACAGGGATGTCCATAATGGTCTCACCTAAAAACATGATTCTGTCGAATTGGATGATAATCCTCCCACTACATCAATGTACCGATGCAAGAATCTGTGTAGTAGATGATGCTAACGCATCAATAGGGAATTCATATATTATTCTCAATCTCTATAATAAGTGTGTTCACATGTGGTACACCTGGTACTCATACCAAATTCTCTAACATTATGCTACTAGGTATGTGATTCATAATATGATTCTCCTATAGATAAACAGTGAGTGAAAACAATCAACTTTTATCTTTGAGATCATAAAATAATCCATCCTAGTGACATTTAGAGTAGCTATCAAATCTAGCATGCCTATGATCTGCTTCCAACTTACTTGTCCATATCAAGCGCACATGTGCAAGACTACCCCATATGTGCATATGATTCAAACTAATATTTAGTCAAAAACACAGCTCAACGGTATCCTTGAGACAGACTAAGATGGAATGCAGTTCATAATGCGCATCGATGTCATTAACGCTAAACTCTTAAATGAAAGAGATAATGTGGCATTACTGATCATAGATCTAACCATGTTAAGTGGAATTCTGTTATTCCTATTTGACACCTAAATTAATTTAGCGTCAATTGCGGAAAACTGGTACACAACACCCTCATTGACCATATAGTCTTTGCACTATCCCAAGAAATACTCAAATACTCGATCAGATCGAAAGTGTCTTGATAAGTTTACTTAATCTAAGCTCCACATCAGTCTTGACCCTCTCAGAATATACCAAAAGTATAAGACTTGTGTCGCAACAGGTAAATTTATCCAAAACGTGAGTAATCTTGATTGGATGTTCATAAGACTACACGTGTACGTGTGTACCGACTCCAATTGTTCTTTATGTCTATTTCATTTGGCTGATTAAGCCCTTAGAGTTATCTATCCTTCAAAACAAGATTCACAAGTTTGGTTTAGGCTCCTCTGCCTCACTAGGTAATAAACCTTCTTTAACCAATCTTTAAATCTCATTTTGATTGATTACAACCCAAAAATAGACACCAAAAATACAATGAGTCAGGAATAACAAATTTTCTCTTAACATTCAATCTAGAAGATGCAACATTAGTTTCTACATCCTGCAAATCTTTAAGAGTTTGTGATTATAGTATATTAACCATCTTTCAACACACCAGAAGTAATCGCATATCTATTCAATTTTATAAAACCAGTTTTATAAAATAGCAACACAGTTTTTATAAACCACAAGTGAAACAAGAATAAGATAGCGTCTAACTTCTGTGCATAAAAATAGTTCTCTAATACTAATATCCTCATACTCTCTATTTTCAGATGTAATACTCCCACTGACTTAGTTACAACCTTGGCATCAGGTCAAAAGATAAATATATACCCATATCATCAAGGCTTCTGGATTCCTGAAATCCTTACAATAAATTGCAAACATGTTTAGTGGCTCCAGAATCTATCCATCAGGAATCAATAGATACAACCACATAACATGGCTCAATGATTAAATATATATTTTCCTATGCCACGTCATTGCTTAGACAGTTTGTCCTTTAGTGTCTTAGTTAACGGCAAAAGAAACAGTTTCATTCGCCCTCCACATACACTGCCTTATTCCCTTTAACCTTTTAGATACCTATGTTTTGTGCTAGCCTAGTCCTATTATCATCCTTCTTCTTTGCTTTGCCCATCCACTTGGGCCTAGAAGAAGATGGTATAGACTAGGTTAGATTGATAGGAACGCCCATACTCTTGATTATCCCTTCTTCTGTTACCAATTCTATAAGAATATCAGCGAGTGTGAACTCAAACTGATTCCTTATTTAGTTCACTCTAACAGAGTCGAATGAGTTTGGTAACAAGGCAATAATCATGTCAACTTGAAACTTACCACCCAAGTCAGCCTTATTGATCTCCAGCTAATTTTTAAATAATAAACAATCATTTTCCAAAATTTGATTTCAAACTGGAGTTCATCAGGCTATTTTGATGGTATTTAAATTTGACACAGTACTTAGGCATATGCTCTATCTAATCTCACCAAAATATCTCATTGACATTTAATATGATGCTTGAAGAAAATAAAATAATACAAATGTTAGCTTTGGAGTATATTCGAGCTAAACTCTAGAATATTGCACCAAGTCATATCATTTGCCTTATCTAATTTATTAAAAGCATTAATGTCAAATTTGGTATCTCAAAGTAAAAGAGATAGGTTTAGGAGTAATAAACACATTTTGTACCCTTACGTTGTGAATAAAATATCTAAGTTCATTTTCCAGTCATTATAAATAAGGTCCAATATCATAGAATACGGAAGCAAGTAGATAAACTGGATTAGACATAATTAATCTGAATATAAATGCATTCATACAATATGCAAGGTGAATTATTAATTCTGTCATGCATATTTAAAATTAAATGAGTTTGTTAACCACATAATATAATAAATCTCAATCGAACAAGAGATCATTATCATTATTGGTGAACAATCCCTTTTAATTAATGCGGGTCCCTCAACTCTGTAGCATAATAAATCAACCAATCAATATGTCAATAACTTATCCTGTTGGAGGAGTTCATTATTACTATTGTTGAGATTCATTTACTATTAGGTGAGCACTTCCATTAAAATAGTATGTGGGTCCCTTAACCACTGCATGAAAAATCGGATAACCAATACACCAATAACTTATTCGGTTGGCGAAGTTCATTATTGCTATTGGCGGGCAAATCCCATCATCTCCATATCTCTTAAGAAAATGCCTTGTCTATCTATATGAAATGACTCCCGATTATGTTTAGCCTTTCTAAAATCACCTAGTGTAGACCACTCCGTTGGGGAGCTAACACTATTGATTTTAGATTGAGTGTATAACATTATTAATGCTCTAATGAAAAATAAAACATTAAATATGTTGTCATTATAATCTAGACTCTTTAAATCATGCGTAGGGCCTTATTTTTAAAGATCTAATTATAATGAACATTTAATATTTTTATTTTCATGAGACAACCATTCTTGTAATATTAAGACTCTTCAAATCATGCGTGGGGTCTTATTTTTGAAGATCTAATTACAATGGTTTTAATAACGAAGGCCATGGGGCAATGTATAAAAATCCCCGCTCCCACTCAATTTTTAATCATTCATAATTAGGGTTTTCATTTTATTCATTTACATGATATAATGCATGCAAAACGTCTTGATTTTAATCCAATTAAATTTAAAAAATATTTGGACTTTAAACGATTCACTAATATTTAATTTGAAGCACACTTTAAAAATAATTTACAAAAATAATTTTTAGTTTCCCAATAAGTGCCCTCAAATTAATTAGTAATCTAATCCAATTAATTTTCATAATTTAATTAATATAAATCAAGCCATTTAAATAAATATCATGGATCCAATGCATGAATAATAATAATTAGCAATTAATTATTTCATGCATCACATACAACAATAAATGACAAATAAAGCAAATTAATTGGCCAATGGAATCAGCTTTTAACATTTAATTGCTCTAATCACTGCGCGAAGATCTTCCATCAGCTTGCAAACACCCACATAAGGTTGGTACGCACCAGGAGAAGCAAAACACGGCTTGGAACGCGACTGGAGGGCCCCACACGCGCTCACACGCGCCTGGGGCATGCTGCAGGTGAAGCCACGCGCCCCCACGCGCTGGCACGCGCCTGGGGCGCGTGGGACGCGCCCCCACGCGCTGGCACGCGCATGGGGCGCGTGGAACGCGCCTCCACGCGCCTGCACGCGCGTGGAGGCCATACACATTTGGCTGGCGCGTGCAATGCACGCGCCAGCAGATGTCACCTCCTGGCGCGTGTTCCTCACGCGCCAGGCTCACCCCAGATGCACTACACTTGATTCTAGCCTCCTCCGACGTCTCTTCTCGCCGCCGGTGATGCTCCGGCCACCGGAAAAAAGCCGAAAAATCCAGAAAAATTAATAAAAATTTTCATAAATTAAATTAGGCCTTAAAAAATTCCAGAAAAATTCCGGAAAATTGCTAAAAAATCCCAGAAAATTTCTGAAGCCTAATTTAACCCTCTTGGACCTTCTTGAAGCTTCATAGCATCCTTTGACGAAGATTACATGGCTTTAAAAATATTTACAATTTGAAATACAATGGAAAAAATTAAATTACATCATTGAACTTTCAAACGGCTAAATCAAAGCCTTAATTACATTCATCCAAAGATAAAATTACATTAATTTAACCTATAAGCTTCATCCATGGCCCAACCATACATCATCATTCATTCACAATCATTCATACATCATTATGTATCAATATATATCAACATATTAAATCATACATCAACATACATCAATAAAAATATATATGAATATAATTTTGGATCCATGAATGATGATTTTCATAAAATCATGATCTCTAGTAATGAATCAAACCATGCTCTGATACCACTGTTGGGAAACGTGCTAGTTTTAAAAACTTTTCGAGGGATTTAAATTCATAGATCTTGATTCATCACTTAGAGACAAGTTTTATGCAAAAATAAAACATGATGTATCATTCAATTAAAAGATTGAATACTTACATCAAGGTTTGAGTAAACCTTAGATCTCTCCTCTAAAGTGAATGTTCTCACTTATTGTAGATCCCTTTTGCTAGACACCTTTTCCATGGATCTCCATCTTCTTGGTAATTCTTTTGCCTTTAGGAATCACTCATATGCCTCCATGAATGACCTTGGAAAACTAGGCTTGTGGGAGCCTCCATTAGATGAGAACATAAACCCTAATTTTCTAGAGAGAGAAAATTTATTCCCTTTTCCTTCTCATAAAAATCACCCCCTAAAATATACATAGACCATGTATATTTATAGGCAACATAAAAATAAAGAAAAGGAAACAACAAATCCTTCTCCATCTCTAATTCATATGTCTCAAATCTAATATGATTCCAATATCAAGTTGGGCTATGAGTGAGAATCCATTGGGCCTATTATTTTATTGGTTACAATGAATTAATAATTGGCCCGGTCCATGGACCCAATTCAATTAATTCATAAATTAATTTCTACTCCACTAAAAGAAATTAATTGAACTCCAATTAAATAATAAATAACCTCTAAGTCAATATTGCACTTTGACCCCTCTATGCATAATTAGTTATCGGATAAATATAGCCATCAATCCGACTACTTAATTAATATATTTATTTTGGTACCTTTGATTATTTCTGGCTCGATCACAATAAAACATTTGTTTGACAAAAATAATAATTTAAATAAATAAATATATAATAAATCATTTTGTCTAAAAACACACGAAGGCCTTCGAATTTACTTTGTGATCAACCATAATCAATACAAAATAAATACAAGTAGCAATGATGCAAATATTGAAAATATAACCCTCTAACTATTAATTACATAACTACCCAAAGTGTCGGTCTAAGGATCCCGAAGAATCCGCCGAACAAATCAAAGTAATTATTAATTAATAAAAGAGTCTATACTTTTCTCATGCTTAAGAGTCAAATGCCATGACGTTGATAGGGAGTAATTGCATACGACGGCTCTCGCAATATATCTCAACCTAACGCGGATCCAGTTCAAGTCTTAATTAATTATGAGTCCATCCATAATTACCGACTATGAACAATTTATAATTACTATTTATATATCATGCATTGATTGTCATCACATACATATATATAAATATTCCTTGTAATTAACTGGACACTATCAATTTCATAGTGAATTGAAACATAATACATTGAATTCACCAATTATATAAATCATAAATATTTCAGATATGTCAGGAACATATGTTAATACAATCCAGATAGGAATTTGCTATGCCAGGGCATATAAATCCCAACAATCGCGTGTTCATAGGTTTCGTTTAATGGAGGAGTCAGCAACTTGGTTCTTGATACAATTGGTCGCACCTTTAGCCAAAAGTACCGCAATAGGGTTGTTCAAGTAAGATCTCTATCTGTGTGTGTCTGAGCGCATGCGTCTTTATGTATTCAATCTCTTCTGTTAATTGGGCCATCACCTGGTAAAAGCTCCTGTTGCTAAGTATGACATTATGCAGGTTTTATGTTTGGGAAGAACCACTTATGTAAATGTCAAATGTTACTGCTGTATTATTCCAGCCCTCTTAGTACCTCACAGTGACGTAATACTGGGTAATGGCCTTTTTTTTTTTTTTTTTTCATTAGACTCAGTCAAATATATAGACGACTTGCCGAATCCAAGTCACCATTAGACTAAGAATTCTGTAATGCATAATTAGAGAAACATCATGTGCAAATTATTTTGCATGTATATGATGACATTCAAGAACTTATTGTTCCAAACCTTGAAATGTGTTAAAGAGGTGTAACTCTGTATACTTTTGGTGTTACCTTTTTAGCTGTGTACATTTTTATCAGCATGGAAGTCTGCTAATTATCTATTTACCGAAAAAAAAGGTCTGCTTATTATCACATCTTGATGAGACTGATATCTCTCGTCTTGAATTGATCATCTCACAAAATTTAATGCAGCATGAAGCTGGCCATTTCTTAATTGCTTACTTGCTGGGAATTCTTCCCAAGGGGTATACGCTATCAAGTCTGGAAGCTTTGAAGAAGGAAGGATCACTCAATGTTCAGGCAGGAACTGCATTTGTGGATCTTGAGTTTGATGAAGTAGTTTTCTTCAAAATTTTAGTACCATTTCTAATAGGCTTCCGTAACTGTTATATTATTTGTGCTTTTGTTGTCTTGGCCCTGACCCTTCTACATTTTTTATTTTTTATTTTTAAAAGTTAATTGTTGGGTTGGGTTGGGAGTTGGGAGAATGTTGATCCTCATACTCTCGTAACTAGCCTATGGAGGAGCACCCTACCACACCTTCTCTGGTACACGGGAAATGTATGGTTCTTGTCAGTAGCTCTAACCTGTCGCAAGGTATGGAAGATATTTTCACCATAGCTGATGGCTTTTTGTGTATGCCATAGTCACAAGTTAAGTTGCCACTATATCCATGGAGAAGGTAGTCTACACTCCCTATACTATGATGCCTTATTGAACCAGTAAGGCATAAATAGCTAGAAATTTGAATAAAAGCTTCAATAATTGGTTGATCCTGCGTATTTACGGTGAAGATAGACAGAAATCCGAAGGCTAAAAAAGACGGAACTCTGAGCTAATATACCAACATAAATGTTTTTGCTCTGCGCCAGCATCAATATATTGAATTGCTGCACGTTCCTCGTTTTAATGCTTAGATCTAACTGATTCATGTCTCATAACTTGTACCTTTACCTTAAGAGAGGACAATAGACCTCTATGAAATTTAAGGCGTTATTGAGTCACCATTCCTGGCTTTGCATTTTAACTGTGGACCATACATTGCGATGTATTGGCTCAATTTTGAGGCCGATTACATACAATTTTCTCAAGGTATGGATGATCCAGTCTGCATCCATACTGACACTAATATTTTATTTGAGGCTAAAATCTGAAACTATAAAATGGCATCCCATAAATGCAAAGGTATTGGAAATTAGTTACTGATTGACAATTAACACCCTGAAAATTGTTGATGATGAAAACTTATTTGATAATTGCTAAATAAAATAGTCTAGTAGAAGAATTTGGAGAGATTTTAATTTTTGATTTATTACGTGTCTTTGTCCTTTGATGTGCAGCTATTCACATAATATGCAGGTTAATGCTGGAAAAGTATCCTCCATGGTATTTCTCCTTTCACATGATCATTGCTTCACGTAGATATTGCAGATTGAATGTTTCTCCATGAATTATCGATTCTATCTTGTCGGAAGTAAAGAAATTCTAACGAAGGGATACTTCTTATTAGATGCTGAACAGATTCTCTTGTATAGCGCTAGCGGGTGTGGCGACTGAGTATCTTCTACATGGATACTCCGAGGGAGGCCTTTCTGATATCAATAAGGTTTACACTTATCCTCTCTGCTTATTTTCTAAAAAGAATCTCTGTCACAACAGAGAGCTGAATGCAAAGAGCTGCGAGTTCATGCTTTTGAATGTGATAGAGTTTACTCAATCAGAGTCCATTTGCATATAGCCATGTTAGTGCCACAATCCTCTACTCATTTTTTGAGGATGCCATAGTAAATTACTCATTTTTGCTTCATTGAGTTAAGTGACTCATTTTCGCTTCATTGAGTTAAATGAGGACCCAATGCATCAGCTCAAAGCATATCCACTTTGACTTAGTGTCATAGAGCTGATTCACCGTAAACCTAGACAGTATTTAGTTTAACATTAAAAAGGAACAATGCCCAATTCTTGTCCCACCATTGCAGGGACTGGGGAGGCTTCTTAAACTTTAAGCTTCTTATTCAACGATAATTTCAACAATCTTAGGCAGGCTTTTGATATTTGTTCACATTGTTAACAATATTATGCACATTGTTAACAATCTTACGCAAATCATTTCGTCATTTCATCTGAAACTTTGGCATCCTCTCTTGGCCGGTAACAACAGGTTCCTTTGGCTGAGTTACTTATGACATGGATGATACAATTTACAGTAGTTATATGACTAACTGAATGATTTTATTGATGTAACAGTTGCACATGTTGCTCCAAAGCTTGGGTTTCACTCAGAAGAAAGCGGATTCTCAGGTGAGCTGGGCTGTTCTCAATACTATTCTAATATTGCGTCGCCATGAAGGAGCCCGAGCAAAGCTAGCAGAGGCCATGTCTCAGGAAAAATCTGTGGGTTTTTGCATTGACATTATAGAGAAGGCCATAGACGATGCAGACCTATAGTCTTCGACTTGGTTACACTGATGCCTGAAGGTTCAATTTATTAAAACCATTTTATGGTTTTCCTATTTCGAGGTTTTTGAGTACTAATCTGATGATTGGTTCAACCACTTCCAATACCTTGTTTTTATTTTCCTTTTGGGGATTAATAGTTTGATTCTCAGTTGTTCATATGTGAAATGTATCCAGCCAGATAAAAATTGAAGCTAAACTGTATTGAGAGGCAAAAGACAACATTCAAGCTTTCTTTAAAGTGCAAGACTGTTTAACTTCTATGGAAGTGAAATTATTCCACTGTAGTCTTTCCTCTTATGTGCAAACAAAATTTCTCTCCTTGTGTGTGTTTGTAGTTGTCGTGGTCAATGTTGAGTTTGGAAGCATTGAATCCATGCATTGAATTTAAAATTAAAAAAAATTTATTTCAGAAGTGCCCCAACCCTGTAACTGTTTAGCCCCATGGAAAAAAATAAATAAAAGAAAAGAAAAACTCCAAAGCAAATAGCCCATCGCATTATCATGCAAATTAAAATTTTTTTTTTTTTAATTTTCTTGTGGCTGAAATAAGTCTTAAATCCGAAAAATTATTACATAGTTGTGGAATTATTTATCTTAGCGAGTCACTAAGTAATAATTGACATTTAAGGAAAAAATTAATTAAAACTTATGCAAAAGTGGCATATTTACTTGCATATTAGTTAGTGACATTTAAAGAAAAAATTCATCAAAACTTATACAAAAGTGACATATTTACTTACATAGTAGTTAGTGATTGATCCGGGACCAATGCTCCAATACCATATAATAATTTATCTTCAAATTGATGCTCAACAGTCATGAGGGACTATTACTATTAAGTTAGATTTGTCACTCTTTTAATACCAGTCATACTACCATGTTATTCAATTTAAATGTTGTTATCAAAATTTACCTTAAGTTATAAAAAATGATTACATTACATGATTCGGGATCAATCACACATCAATAAATGCACCAAAATTAATTTTTTTTATGCTCCTGACCTTGTAATAATTTGTCATCAATTATATTACACCTTCTGTCCCCTAAACACATTGGCCTTCAAACATTTTTTTGGTTCTATTTGTGTGGACGCATTTTATTGTATTTCATTCGGCTTTGCTTAATAGGCGGGACTTTTGTCGTTGGTAGTTACTAAAAAAAAAGCCTAGGGAAGGGACATTGACCTTGAGATGGGGTTTTCAGGGCGCCAATATCAGGAAGACCCCTCTCTCCCTCTCTTCTCTGTATGTGTCATGGAGGTAGGATACTGGATTCTTGTGTGCCATGGCCTGCTCACGCTGTTGATCATGGTATTATTACTCTGTGGTCATCGGCCCATCTTTCAGGGGACTTTCATCGAACACATTCACTACTTCATCACTTCTGGCCCTTACCATTATCTCCGGTACTATGCATAAACTATCTTAAATTACACCTTGACCTAGTATATATTTACATACTCTCTCTCCCTCCATTTTCCAATTTCATACTATGCATTTATTATAAAAGATTTGTTGGGCTTGTCCTCGGCTCTAAAGGCATCAATGCTCTCGTTTCCCTCAAGCATTAATGCTGCGATCGACCAAACCCTATCTTACAGGTTTCCCTTTCTTACATTTTGTCATGCATACATATGTGTAATATATATATATATATATACACACACACTGCACCCACATAAGTCCAGTGACAGACGAGAGAATTGTATGACAGGAGGCGGATTTGAATAACACGCATATATATAAAAAATTGAGTGGGGGCATTTTTAAGATTTTAACAATTTACAAAAAGAATGAACCCAAAAGTTCGTGAGATGATTAGTTTTGATTTATAGTGCCTTTTTTTTTTTTGGGGTTAATTTGGACAGCTAGGGTTCACCTGTTAGTTGTCCTGTTGGTCATTTTTTCGCTTGAAAATTGATTTTATCACCATTTTATATTTGACATAAGATTAGGGGCAACTGCATGGTGCATTATTAAAATGCTCAGCTTGTTAGGTGGTTGAGAGCAGTCACTTTGTGCAAATAATTCCAAATATTAGGTCTGTATTCATTCTATCACGGACCACACTGGGTAAATGAACTTATGATCCTCTGTTGGACATAAGATTGTAAATTGAGCTCATCATGTTTTTGATAGGGTTAATGCATATAAAGCTCGAAAAAGAAGAAGAAGAAAAAAGCCTACCCGTTTAAAAATCTACAGACAATGAAGCCAATTGTGTAAGCCACAGAAACTTAAGAACTGCATAAACACTTCCACACCCTTAAAAGGGCCTCCTATTCCTTTCATTCTATGTATACAATACAATGCTAAAAAAAAAAAAAAAAAAAACAATGCTAAGTAGAGCTGTCATCCACAAGTTACTTGCCTTCCTCTAAACATGGCTACCTTTCCAACTTCCAGACGGGATATTGAGTCATCATCCACACCAGTCCAAAGAGAGAGAAAAGGACACACCGTAATTACCTCACAACTGCAATAATGAAACAGAAAGTTACTCACACTTTTCTCTATCCCTTTACACATACAACCTATTTACCGGATTTAGGTTTGTCTATCGGGTGCTTGTGTATGTCCAAATGTTGGAGCTCCTTAAATCCCAATTTTTAAGATACAAAAAATTGACTTGAAATATGTCTAATACAGGTTTCCTTTTCTTAAAAGAAATTGGGTTGGCATGCTGGTTAATAATTTATATCACTTCTTGTGTTGTAGATCATATATCTGGCAATTAATGGAGCTTCTTATTACATTATTGCGAAGACATGCTTTTGCTATATTCCTGGGTATTATCTAAGTGGAGTTCATAGGTACAACATCAACCAGTGCATATGTTAACTCTCTCATACTTTAAGGTTCCCTCCCATTAAATTTCTTTTTGAATCTCATTGGACACCACATCTTCTTGCAGGTACACAAGCTTTTTCGCGGTTGGTGTGGGTATTCTACTCTTTTTGTTGGTTTGCTTTTCTGATCAAGGAACTGTGAATGCTGAGAACGTTTCTCAATATCTTTCTGCCTATCCTTACGGTAATATCATCTTTTTGGAGAAAGAATGTTCAACTTGCAAGATTTTAAAGTGAGTTCATGGTTTGGTAGTAAGAATATTTAAAATTCACCCTTATAATATACCCTGATGGGATTTTTCAGTTGATTCAGACCTGCTAGGTCCAAGCACTGCAGAATATGTGATCGGTGTGTTGCTCGGTTTGACCATCATTGCGGATGGATGGTTCGCTTTTTCTTACTCCATTTTTTTTTTTTTTTTTTGTGTGGAATTAGATTTTTGGGTGGTGTGTATTTTAACAATTTCTTTTTCTCCTCAAAGTTCTGTATTTTTTTTCATTTGCTACAGAATAATTGCACAGGGGAGAGAAACACCCAATACTTCATGGCTTTTCTTCTTTGGTAAGATTCATCACTGTTAGCAGCAATTGTTATATTTCAAGTTAGCAAAATGGATATTAATTGGATCTACTGACTTGCCTTTTGTGTACTTCTGTTCTTATGCTTAAAAAATGATCCATATTTAGGACTGTAATTTTTTATTTTTTTAACAAATGGATCCGCTTATTTTTAATCTAATGGTAAAACTGGCATAGTAATTGTAATTTGCAACAGTAATGAATGGGTCACCAAACAAGGTTTTAAACATCAACTTCAGGTTGCTTATGCATCTCCATTAGTTGAAATATTTTGTGCAAACAGAAGGGGAAAAACTGAATGTAGGATTTTAGATATCAGTTTTTAAATAAAGTTTGTCAATGTGGAATTTCCAATTTTGGACTTCACAATTGTGGAGGGTGTAAACCAAATCCGCAATTGCGCATTTGGTGTTTGCACCATATAGCCGAATTGTTTGGTCCTCCCCGCCTTTGAGTAATACAGCAATATGCTGCATCCATTTTGATCCTTATATCTATTTGTAGTAGTGTTTCTTTAGTCTTATGCAGGCATCTCCTTCTTTGTTTATATGGAACAGTAGGCATCGGGTTGCTTATTGCTGGTCGGTTGAAAGAATTAAAAGTTATATACATTCTAACAGGTGCATTTGATTTGTATATAACATCTTGTAGTTGGCAGCTGAGTAGCGTATGAGAGCTTAAATATGGATGTTTATTTCCTTAGTTTCTCTTTACAGTTTATTATGACATTGAAAATTCATTCCATAGTTTGGCTCCGCATGTTGGACAGGTGATACTATATTTAGCTTTCTGCTGAAGACCCCCATTTTTTTTTTTTTTTTTTTCATGTGGCCTATAGTTTTTTGTTTGGAAAAATGAATTTCTGATGGCCTTTCAATGTTTTGGACTTATGTAACATGCTGCTCACCTCCTTGTAAAATTTCTAAACAATATATTTCAAAGGAAATTTGGTTTTTTCCGCATATTTGATGTTATGTGAGTTTCAAAATGATGGGAACATGTTACTTCAAGCGATAACTCATGGGAAAAACATCATTTAAAATGTTTTAATCATGTATTGTGTCACGAGGAACTTGTAGTGTCTCTTTACTTCCTCACTACAGCATCTCCTGACTCTTGCTGAGATTCATCCGCCCACTTTTCCCTTGTCTCATTTTCATATAATTTAGTTCTTCTGCATGTCCTAGTTTCTCGTGTTATTCTCTTTAATCTTACTTAGAAAAGGATGAATCAAGTGGTTGTTCAGGAGTGTTCTCAACTAACACCTGATTAGTTACTGCTCATGCCATTGATGTAAAAGAATATGTTGAAGACTCGATAGCCCATTCTAGATGTAGGACAAAACCTTAAGTAAGGAGAACTAGGGCTACCTACAATCAAATAATGGTGGGCTAGGATTTTTGGATGAGCTGGTAAGATCAATGGTTAGAAATGGTATTAGGATTAATTTGGCTGTGGTTTAAGGGTAATTCAGTTTTGTGTCGTTTGACATAAAAAAAGAAGAGCTTCTCAGTAATTGGGTAGCATCAAAAATAAAGGTTTAGGATCAGAAAGTTGGGTAATTAGGATTAGGATTACATGATAAAGCACAAAGGGTTTGGCAATTAGATTAGGGTGACTAAAGGGCTGGTTGTGGCTATCTACTGTGCATAGTAGTGTTGGAAATTAAAGTTAAGAAGAAAGAGAAGGTTATACTTTGAAATCTGAATCTCACTGAGGCTTTCAGGAGCCCCCACTAAAGAGTGAGAGAATCTCATCATTGAAGGATCAGTGGAGGAATTTTGTTTTTTTTTGTTTTTTTTTTTTTTTGATAAGTAAGAATTTTATAAAAAAGCGCTCAAAGGGGTGCGAAACCCAATGATACAAGAAGAAAAAACCAAAAAGAGCCTCAAGCCTTCAAAGAGGCCAAAAACATAACAATCTCCTCAACAGAACGATAATCTCTCCCTGAGACCTAACAAAAGAAAGTAGAAATAATAGAAAACTTAAGCATAGAAATGGGTTTCTCCTTGCCATCGAAGTATCTTCGATTCCTCTCGAGCCAAATGCACCACCAAACACAGAGAGGGGTAGCCCTCCAAGCATCCCGGATGAGCGCCCCAACAGAGACACCTCTCCAAGCCTCAATCAACCCTCTAGAGGAACAGGGCATAACCCAGGGAACCCCAAACAACCCAATCATCAAATCCCAACAATCTCTGGCCATACTGCAATGCAACAGAAGGTGATCCACTGTCTCCTCATCTACAGTTCTTGTCTTTGAAAAATCATAGTCAACACAAGTGCCGGTTTACAAAATATTTGATTTTGTTGATTGAGATTTTCTAAAATTACGCTTAATTTGGAAAAATTACCGAAATACCCATGTTAATGAAATATCTTATTTTTCCACTTACACAAGAGTCAGGAAAAACCTAATATTTTTTCCCCATCAGTTCAGCTGTAGACCACATAGGATTTGTCTTTCTTTCTTTCTTCTTTTCTTCATATATATATATATTTAATTTCTTTTTTTCCACTTCATATACTTGTTGATTCTTATCAAGTAACCCCCCCCCCCCCCGGCGCGCGCACTTGAAGGAACTCGACTTCTACAAGTTAGTTTCTTGATACCATGCACAGTTTATTATGACTGTCATAATATTTCCTCTAGTGTTCAAGATAATTGAAGGGTGATAATGTATCTTGAACACTTAAGGAAATATCATGACCTAAATTGGTCTGTGTCTTAGTTTCCTTTCTAAAGTAATTTCTCAGTGGTTGACACACCAGCTTGTGTACGTATTAACTGTATACTTATTCTTTTTAAAATAAGAATAATGATAATTTTCTTTCTTTCTTTCGTACATATATATATATTTTTAACATTGCTTGAATACAAATTTCTGTTTGGAATTGCTGGAAAGCAAATCAGTTGGTATGGTCAAAACCATTCCTTTCCCTCGGTGTCAAAAAATAGACAATGGTGGAAGCATTCGTCTGTTGGTTACTTTAGGGTGTACGCATTATTGCTTTGTCCATGGACTAATTATTTCTAGTTATTATTTTTCTTTGCAATATCCATTTATCATTATCGCAATTTACTTCAAGTTCGTTGAATGTTTCATCCCCTTAGAACATTTATCTTAATGGTTTTCTGGCTTGTAACAGTGGTTGATGGGTTTCTACGACACTCAAATACTACTTTTGTTGTTTCTGGCTGCAGTTTCTTTGATACTAGCTCTTTTCTTTGGGTTTCATGTTAACCTCTGTCTCAAAAATATTACCACGAATGAGGTCTATTTCACTTATCCTTTGTTATTTTAAAATTTGATTTATTCAATGCGTCTTTTAAATTTTTTGAAGAGCACAATATAGTGAACTTGCGATAGATTAGTCATGCTATTCAAAATATTTGGCTTCTTTTCTGCATTGAAATCCATTTGATCGTTTCCCTTTTTCTTTATCTGGTGTTTCTTAAACTACTCTGTGGTCATGTAACTGCTTGTACATCAAGTCAGTACTAAACTCTAAAATTTAATACTCGCTTTCTGAAACTACAGACTAAGAAGTGGGAAGACTACTTTAGCTGGCAGAGGAAGGTAAATGAGACAACGGCAACGGAGAGCAAATGGAAGGGCTGCTGTAGGAGATCCCACCTGGAGGATGTGGAGGCTGTAAAGAATGTTTACAATAAAGGATCCTGGCACAATCTTAATGAGATCATCTTCCCACTCTCGACAAGATCATCATTTTCACAAATGAAATCAAAATCGGGCTAAGAGTAGCTGTCCGCGTGTTTGACAGGGATTTCATCTGAACATCAAGGATGGCAGATGGTGTTAAAATCGGAAGCCTTTAACTTGTATACTCCTCATCTTTGAGATAATTTGTGACCAGGCCCGTGCTGCTGCCTGAAAATGTGCTTGCATGGGGAAACCTCTCTGTAAATGAACCCATATTTCCTGCTCCAGTTTTAGTCCTTATGCAAAGATTGTAGAGTAGTAGCAGTCATCTTGATGTATGTATATATAAATATATATGCTCACATATTACAGTAACTATATATGTTGTGGAGGCAGAAAATGTTGCTAACACTCTTTTGTAGATGTTCTTTAAATTAGACTAATTGGCATCTTATATAGTGGTGAATGATTTTACTGAGCCAACATTGATCTCTTTGGTGTCTTGACTATACTCTCGAATGGTTAGTACTCCGTATAATTTAAATTTAAGACTTGCTGAAATTTGTCCCTGTCCATTTTCAGAAGTCGTGTCAAGTCAAATACGAACAAACCTCAAGTGAAGTAAATAGAAATTTTTTTATAAAATTCAATTCTTAAAAAAGGCAGCAAACAAGTGCTGAAAAAACAATTAATTCAAAAACAGGTAAATGTTCATAAAACCGCATTCTCAATATTATCAAACCAATCATAGTTGGCACCAACCATACTGTCTAATAATTTTGATTAGTGTTTCATAAGCCAAAGTATTTCTACTTCTTAATGATATGCACTCCTATATATATTTTTCCTTCACATCTGCCAATTCTAAGTATGTGTAATAACATCTGCCGATTCTAAGCAAGTCATGTACATGAGAGATTTTACTTCAGTTTTCAAAATTTTTCGGTGATTTTGACCATTCACGGATATAGTTGAGAAGAAGTGTGGGCTACATTGGCCATGTGTGGATACGCTTGAGAAGAAGTTTGGGCTACATTGGCCATGAAGCTTGGGCTACGTGGGTCGTGTGTGGATACGCTTGAGAAGAAGCTTGGGCTACATTGGCCGTGTGTGGATACGCTTGAGAAGAAGCTTGGGATACATTGGCCGTGTGTGGTTTGATGTCTCTACTCCGCATGTAAGTCAAGAATTGGCCAGGCAGCTCTTCCAAGAGAGCCTGAACAGCGGAGATCTGCCCACCTGCACCACAGAAAAAAGTTCTATTTACAGTGAAATAGAAAAGCAGAAGATGAAAACTACAACGAAACATCATGACAAGGATAGTCCCGCATATAACCAAGAATGCACAGATGAGAATACATATGGTTAATTAGTACAGAGTCTTGTAAATTGCAAGGTTTACATCAGGTTCAGGAGTGTTTATCAGCAGAACAAAGCTGAGGTCATTATATGAGATTAGAACTCTATTCAGGCTATGACAACACCAAGTGTCACTGCTAAAAGCAACTATAGATCTCCTAGTCATGGCATAAAAAGGCAGCAACATACTATTGATTGGAAGTCTAGTTCTATGATCTAGCTGTTATTCCTTTCAATACCAACTTGAGATACAAATCTTGCACAGTACATTCAACCATTGAGAAACCTATGGGTCTGTTTTCAGTTTTCCGAAAACACTTTTTTGTTTTCTGAGAACTGAAAATCTATTCGGTTGACCATTTCTGAAAACTAGTTAAAAAAAAAAAAAAAAAAGAAAAAAAAAAGGGCCCGTTCTTAGAAAAATGTCTTTTATAGTCATCTGAAAACAGTGTTTTGTTTTCTGAGTTTTTGAGAATTGTTTTTAGAAACCTGAACCAAACAAGCCGTATATTTCTCAATTCAAATCAATTAGAATCATGCAACGATCATATCTTCACGTGAGCTTCTTTAAAGTTAAACAAGCAAAAAGCACAAAGCATCAAAGAAGGCCGGCTGATACAAGCCAAGCTTGAAGCAATGTAAGTTCAGCTGAACCTGCTCCTAAAGTAATAAATGCATTTATTCATTTGAATAAGATTTAACAAAAGTACCCAACGAACATCAAAAATTCAATCTTGAGCCCCTAACAACAGCACCATTTGGAATTAATAACCAAGAGCTTCTGTGAATCCACCTTCAACTTGAGCTTTCATTAACAGGCAAGCTAAAAAAAACTTAAAGCATCAAAGAAGGCTGACAAGACTATTGTAGGTACCCAAACCCTAGAATATAAGAACATGTAAAGAACAATTATTTTTTAGGATTGCATATGAGACTTCAACAAATAGGTGACTTGGCAATTTGCTATCAAATTTGCTTCCATCATTCTGTCATGCCCAAACGGAGAGAAAAAAAAATCTGACCAAAATGTTTTACCATCTTTAAAATTTGTAAAGCAACACAATGATGAACTCACCTTGCACATCACGCATCGGAACAAACTGTACAATGTCTCGTGTAGCTATCCTTCCCGTGGAACTCTCTAATCTACATCCGCCATCAGCATCTAGGATCTGCAAGGATAACAAAAATTATGCCACATACCAATTTTAACAGGGAGGTTTGTAAAAGGATAACACTCTCAATTAAAGGATTTTTAGTGCTGTTATGCTAATAAAAGTGAATTAATTGAAGACCAAATCTGATTAAGAAAAAAAAGGATATACTACCTCCATTTTTCCAAAATCGGCACCACCAACTCCAACAATAAGAATCGAAAGGGGTAGGTCAGATGCTCTCACCAAAGCATCTTTAGTTTCCTGAAGATCAGTAAGGACTCCATCCTACAAAAGTATGAAACTATTTTATCACAAAAATAAAAATAAGAAACAACAGGAGAGAAGCAAATATTGGTCGTTTGATTCACTACCGTTATAATCAGCAAGACAAAGTACTTGCTCTTGTTGTAGGAGAGGGACTGCCCAGCAAATTCTGCAGCATTGTTGATCACCGGACCAAATAAGGTGGGTCCAGCAAGAGCAACATTGTGCAGAGCACTTGCATAAGCTGCCATTATACCTTCTACCCCTTCAACCTGTAACATGAATGGGAAATTGACCATCACATGATATAAAAGATGAAAGCAACCAAGACGTACAAGGTTATTCATCAATGATGGCAGCATCTCTACCCACACACCTATCACTGGGATGAAAATATGATGTTTAAGGCAGCTTACTGCACAAAAAATCTAGCTAGTCTTTCCAAACGGTCCGATATATTTTATGCATAAACCATGGTAAACAGCCTTCAGCACTGGCCTTTGTGGGCTAGAGGTATGTTAACTGTGTTCCTACGTGATAAATCATAGAATGAAATGGTGCCTTATTACCAGCAATTTGAAAGGAAGCATGCCTTGCGTATAAGCACAAGACAAGGAGCTCATCAAACAATAATTAAAAATGAGTACAACAGGATGTCTCTTCGATCCCTTGCAAGAGATTATTACCTCAAAGCCACTTGTACTGCTCAAGTTAAAACAATGAGATACTGAGCCATCACAAGTCCTTCCTCCAAAGCCCCAAGCAGGAAAGCGCCTATCAGAATCATAGAATTGTATGACCTCCCCAACCTCCATTATAGCCTGCAAGGAGTACAGTCATTGACTTGTGCACTCATTCGATCAATCAACGACTATTTTCTACTAAATGCAAAATGAAGACTGCAGAGAACAAAACTTTCTTTGCATGACAATTAACTCATACATCACCAACTTGGTCTACAAATAATAAAACCAACTGAAAACTGTATAATTTATATTACAGTGTCATTCATAAAATTAGAATTTTATAATCACATCGACAGGTCATTTCATTGTGAGCAACTTATAAGAGTTGTTTATGAGTCTGCATTCCCATGGGAGAATTCAATGGCATCTGACTTAATGGTAGGTTCTCTAGTTCCAAGATAAGCTAGTGAAAATTTTAAACATTATTCTTGAAGCATAGATAATTCTAGTTTGATAACACCACAGGTGGCAACTCGAGGGTATCTGACTTAATGGCAGGCTCTTTAGCCCCAATATAAGCTAGTGAAGATTTTTAAAATTATTTGAGAAGCATAGACACTTCCAGATTTGAGAACACCACAGGTCGCACCACCTTACCTGCTGGTAAGCATTCAACCGGCCTGAAGGATCAATGTAGTGCAAAGAATCTAAACTTCGAGGATTTCCATTTGAAGCTGGACAAAATTTAAATTTCAATTAATGAGCCAAGCATAGACAAAATAAAATCGACTGGAATCGTATAGCTTTTCAGAATGAAGGTTTATTACCAGTAAAATCAACAGCAACCATAAAGTTAAGTTCAAAGCCACTAGAAATGTAATCAAGAAAACTGTACAGTTCCTTTGCAACAAATCCATCCACAAAAAGTTGACCCTTTAGAACCTACAGAAATATAAGCACAATGCAAGTTCAGACATGACAGACATACGACAAATGGCTAAAATCTTTATCACGTATAAAATAAAGACCTTTTCATGACCATGTCGAGCAGATGGTAAGATAAAATTTGCACCAATCTTTTCTTTGTGAAGTTTTTCAAGGTCTGCCACTGATTTCTGCATTTTACTATTACATATGAACGCAGTGTCAATATAATGAGCAATAGAAGAAAAAAGAAAATTTGAAAAATAAATAAATAAAACATGCAAAAAGGCAGATTAAAGAAAACAAAAGCAGGAACTTAACTGACAAAAGGAAAAGAAAAAAAGGAATTGACGAGACGAATAAAATTGGACAGTTACCCAATAAGTGCATGATTGCCATTGCTATTGAAATCAAAGCACTCGATAACTAATGGGTTGTCCTGCACCAAATAAAAAATTTCTCCGTAAAAAACAAATATATATATAGCAACCTGTAGTTGTATCCATCACAGAATGCTACTTAACAAATCTGGGTCATGCCATGCGATAAAATAATTCTATCATTCTTCAGTTACATTTCCAACAGTGATTAGGCATCCAAAATGCAAATCTTAAGAGCCTTTATGTTAAATTATCTCAAAACTTAAATTATTGGCACAAAAACATGAGACAACCACAGATATCATAAATTAAACATTTATTCTAGATCTAATCACAAGAATTGACAAACTTGCCTTGCTCCCAAATTGCTGCATTGTGAGGCATAGGGGCTTCCAAATTGGATTCAAGTTGTTATTCACGACTTCTGTCTTGCAAATTGGAACAGTAATACCACTCTCAACAATCCTAGATATTCTCAAGAAGGGATCCTGAAAGGAGTAAAGAAAAAAAAAAATCTAAGAACCAAAATTCCAAGTAACTCAAAGCTCCATATAATGATATCTGATTTCAAATACATACACTTTTGGAAATTAGGTCCTTGTTTTCCAAGTTGGAACAATGGAATGCCATCTCAACAGCATTCTTTGAACCGACAGTTTCCTCGGCATGGACCGTTAGTGTCCCAAAGTTTGTCAGACCACTGTGCCCAGTTTTATTGTGAAGACTAAGGGTCAAACTCGAACTTTGTTTAGTCACTATCTGTCATGAGTTAAAAAAGGAAAAAGAGAAGTAAATATTTATGCATATTTCTGCAAAAAAAAAAGGAAGAAATTTGTAAACAACTGTTTCAGATTAAGATAACTACGAGAAAATGCATCATTTAAGAAAGAGATATAGAAGCACAATTCTGAAAAGCCATCCTTCAGCGAAGAAATTTGTCGCACAGTTTTCAATACATGCACATGTTCAACTTGGGGGGAAGCCACAAGTGGGTCCCATCAGAAAGAACACTCTTTTTCTGTGTTAGTTGGGACCAGAGTTGGCAATCACTCTGGTCCGCCTTCAAGTCCTCAATAGGATATGCTTTGACCGAAATCGCCTGAATCTTCCAAGTATGCTTGCAACTAATAGGGACTTCCACACACTGCTCAAATTAAATTCCTTAAGTACATCAAACCAAAGTTGATCTGGACTTTCACAAAGCATGTATCCACATTTTAATGCATGTCATGGGATCCAAAAAGGGGCCTGTAAAATGCAGTGAGACGTGCTGTGAAATGAGGACATGCGTTCAATTCTCATATACATTTAGTTTTCACATATTTGCCACTAAATTTGAACTATCTTAGGTATGCTTATACATGTCCAAATTTTGTCACTTTGACACTGTTATTATATAGTGAAGCAGAGTGTCTGGATAATTATCGATTGCAAGTATATGTGAGTGATAGCATGACAACAATAATTCTATGGTTAATATTGTTTAATCACTTAGATAGACAGCTTCTCTATTAATTAAAACATGAAGTAGTTTTCTGAAATGTACAGTAAAGGAAACCAGTTGAACTTTTTCCAACCAACAAAATCCAATCATTTTCAAGATTTTTGCTTATACTCGTACACATATTTAAACTAGGAAAAAAAAAAAAATGAACACATATTTAGACACAAACACATGCTTCAAACAATATATATCTCATTATTTATGAGATGCTAATCAACCAAAATTGTTAACTTGAACATGTGAAAGCAACTAAAGAGGTCAACAAATAACCGTAACCATATTTTTTTATTGAAATAGTGATTGCAAAATATCATTACATAATTTTTCAAACTGCACTATTTATGTAATATACAGAGCAAACTCAATGAAATATGCAGACAAAAGAGCTTGAAAAGCATGCAACATCACTATTGAATTCGATTTGGGCCCCAGTTAATACAAATAAACTTACCTCAGATAATACACAATTGGCTTCAGCAAGAAATTCTTGATCTTTCAACTTCAGCATCTGCAATGTAACAAAATGGAATTTTAACTTTATCATTCGCAATCTTTTTGTTTACCTATGATGATCAAAAGCTGCTATTAGTTAATATTTGTTGTAGGGCAAATAAATTGCAACCAAACACCTTCGAAATACATAATGTTAACTATTGGAAATTGTGTCTCAAATTACTATTCTAATTAGGTTTCTATTTTAGAGTTGTATTCTGTTAGGTAATTTATTGTTTGGCAAGGCTGGGCCTCTAAGAAATTGTAATCCTTGTCCAACAAGGAATTGTGGCTTTAACTCTATAAATAGATACCTAGGTTGTGGATTGAGACTTATGAGATTGAGAGAGATGTAGTGTCATGAGTGAGTTGATGGGTAAAGGTAGTATGCAGGTTGGTAGAGTAGAAAAAAAACCGGTGACACTGTTAGCGAAGAGATAGGCTCGTGGAGTGGTACATGGTGAAAAGACATGTACGAGGTGTTGGTACTCTATTGTTGTAATATCTCTACGAATCATAGTGGAATCTCTTCTCATTCTTAGACGTAGGCCGATTTTGGCTGAACCATGTCTATCTTGTCTATCTTGGTAGAGTAGAAAAAAAACCGGTGACACTGTTAGCGAAGAGATAGGCTCGTGGAGTGGTACATGGTGAAAAGACATGTACGAGGTGTTGGTACTCTATTGGTGTAATATCTCTACGAATCATAGTGGAATCTCTTCTCATTCATAGACGTAGGCCAATTTTGGCTCAACCATGTCTATCTTGTGTTTGTGTGTGATTGCTTTGTTGGCTTTCATTGGATTTATGTATCCGCACGATTCTAATGCCCCAACAAATTTGTATCAGAGCCAAAGGTGAAGGAGATCTAGAAAACACAAGAAGTCTCAACAAGTGCTACAATGGGTCTCAATTGCAGGTGGAGTCAATTGGCTTGATTACATGCATTGGAGCTCGAGTGGTCAAGGTGGAGCCTTGAAGGTTCTTAACTAATCGAGCAACGTACAGTGGGAATAATCAGAATTTTGCAGGAGTATCGTCAAGATTGAAGCTGCAAAAGAATTGTCCTGATCAATGCCATGGAAGCGATGATTGGCTGGATGGAATTTGAGTCAAGGTGGGGATTGTTGGAAATTGTGTCTCAAATTCCTATTCTAATTAGGTTTCTATTTTAGAGTTGTATTCTTTTAGGTAATTTCTTGTTTGGCAAGCTTGGGCTTCTAAGAAATTGTAATCCTTGTCAAATAAGGAATTGTGTTTGTAACTCTATAAATAGATACCTAGGTTGTGGATTGAATCTTATGAGATTGAGAGAGATGTAGTCTTATGAGTGAGTTGATGGGTAAAGGTAGTATCAGTGTTATTAAAGGCTCAAGGCATTAGAAGTCCTTTGAAGCCTAGGTGCGAGGCACACGGCGAAATATAAACTACTATGAAAACATTTATCTCATAAGTCATATCAATATTCTAAAAATTAATGTCAAATATAAAAAGGTAAATCCATCAACTATACAAGCATCCAACAACCATAAAACAGAGCACACATTTGTTTTCTTGAAAGGCAAAACAAATTTTGTTTTTTCGAAAGGCAAAACAAAGCACAAAAAGAAATAAATCTGTTAACAGAAAAAATGTTAACAAGAAAAGAAAAGAAAAGAACAAAGCCATAGAGACAGAAAGAAGTAGACGAGAAGAGAGAGAAAGTGTTAAAGATGAAAAGGAGAAAAAACAGAGCCAAAAAAAGAAGAAAAAGACAGAAACAGAAGAGAATTAGACGAAGAGAGAGATGTAAACAAAGATGGGAAGAGATGAGTGGAGGAGAATAGAGGAGAGAGAGAAGAAAAAATTGACGTGGCTTCGTCGTTCGTATCACAGTCTCACTCTTTCTCTGTTCAGTTGACACTTTGACTCTTGGGCTTTCCAATTTGTTTATTCTTTTGAACAAAAGTTCCTTCTCTCGCACACTTCGACTTTCTTATTTGTTTATTAAGTTGCCAAAAGTAACCTATTTGGCTTAAGAAATAAAATAATCATTTTTTAAAAACAAAACATAAGTGAAGCGCGCCTGACAAACAGGACGAGACGCAACCGAGGCGCGCGCCTAGTACACATCATTGTGCCTGGGATAACAATAGGCGCTAGACCTGCGCCTCGAGCCTAAGCGCGCCTTTAACAATACTGGGTAATATGCGGGTTGGTAGAGTAGGAAAAACACCAGCGACACTGTTAGCGAGGAGATAAGCTTGTGTCTCGTGGAGTGGTACATGGTGAAAAGACATGTACAAAGTGTTAGTACTCTATTGTTGTATATTATCTCTACGAATCATAGTGGAATCTCTTCTCATCCATGGACGTAGGCCGGTTTTGGCTGAACCATGTATATCTTGTGTTTGTGTGTGATTACTTTGTTGGCTTTCATTGGATTTTATGTATCCACGCGGTTCCGCTGCCCAAACGTTCATGTAATCACACACTCAATCTTGTTGCCTTGTTCGAAAATAAATGAATTTTAGGAATATAGTCCACCAACATTATTCGAAGTCAAAAATAAATAAATAAAGGTTTGCCTGTGAAGGCCAGTGCACGAAGCTCCTGTCATTGCGAGGTTTGGGGAGGGTCAGATATACGCAGCCTTACCTCCGCATGGAGAGGTGGTTTCCGGTTTTGAACCTGTGACCTCCCGATCACAATTGAGCAAACTTACTGTTGCGCCAAGGCCCACCCTTAAAGGTTTGCCTGTGAAGCAAGGTCGTAAAATCAAATCGGAATCGTATATTGGAACAATTGGTAGGTCTTTAGGATCGGATTGAGAATAAATAATAATAATCTGTGATAATAAAATTGTGGAGCTTAAGAATTCTTAAAAGTACAACATTTAGAAGCCTAAAACTCATGAAAAATATAAAAATATAAAAATAATTATTTTGAAAAGATAAATTTCCAAAAAGCCATCTAAAGCAAGACAAGTGGTAACCAAGAAGAAAAAAGGGGGTGAGAATCAGAAGATGAGACAAAGCGAGACGAATGAGGTGAGAAGACACACGAATGGGGATGAGAATCTGATCGAAGGAGGTAAGAAAGATAGACTGAGGGATTGAGAACAACAAAAAGGGATTGAGAACAACAAAAACACACGAGGGAGAGAAGACACTTCCTTGTTTGTTTACAAAGAAGCCTTTTATATAGGCAAAGCATAAACAAACCCTAAAATATTAAAATACTAAAATATCCCAAAAAATAGAACATTGCCAAAAGCAACAAAAATAAAACCTGATTACATAATCCTTAATTTCATCTATCTTTACCCCTCCTCCAAAAGTAGAACTTGAACACATGCGACTCATCATCCATGAAAATCATCATAGCGCGTTCCCCATCACTCTCCGTAAGAATATTGGAGCGCATAAAGTATTGCACAATTTTAAAAAATATTATCATATTAACATTTTTATACAGCATTAACTATGATAGCACATACATATATTATATGTAAATGTAATATAAAAAAAGTTCATGAATCATCATTTATCCGCCAAGGATCATACATGGAATGAAGATATTGAATTTAAAATATATTCTGTTTTAAATACTCAGTTCACTCAGTCATAAAAAAGCATTATAGAAGATGCAACAATATAGGAAGGAGAAAAATAAAAGCACTAAGATCTGTATTAGTATGATATTGATTGGTTTTAAGCAAAATTAAGTCCCTCTCTGTAAAATAGCACAACAAAATAACAAACCAAAAAGAAAAAGTAAAAGAAAAAAGCACTCATACTAGTCAAAATAAGGAATTAGATAACCTAATTACTTGCTAAAGCAGTTGACTACTCAGCAATAACGTTGCAGAGTCAAAAGGAGAAGAAAATTTTGCCATGCTTGTCTTACTTAGGACATTTGAGTGAGTCTTAATCTTAGTTTTATAATATTATTTGGGTCTCAAGTTCTCAAAGAAACAAAAAAATAAACCACATTTTAAGGCTCTACAGTAGGATCAGTAGAATTAGGAATTAAGAGTGCACCCATTTTTGGATTTTTTGTGGGACTGGGATCATTTAATATTATTGGACCATGGCATCATAGGATGTGGATCTGGTTTTAACATCCATGCTCAAAAGTTAAGCACCTCACAGTTGAAGTACCCTAACAGTAAGCAAAACTAATTATTGACGTTGCATTCAGAATGAGTGCTACTCTTATGTTTCCTATCTACATGAAACCCTTGCTAAATGTTCTCTTGTTCACTTCAGAGCCAAATTGACAGCAGTAACAAACTGTAAATGCTCTGAACTCTGGAATATTCAGCAAAAATAGAAAGAATTAAAAAAAAAAATCATCTCCATATATTTTCCTGGCTCTAAATTTCTTGCACGTCACAGCTACCACACCTGTAAGACGTAAAGTACATTCCACAACAAAGCAAACAAGTTGAATTCTGGCACCCATAACTTTGTGTAAGCCACTTAAAAAACCACCAAATTGGCAAAAACAACAGATATATAGTTATGTACCATATAAATTTCACTATCAGTAAGTAGCACATACAATAGCATCTCATACAATCTAGTATGATGATGAGAAAGTGAAATCATTATGTACCTTCACCGGTAAATTGTGGTACTTTGTATCTACATCATACACACGAAAGCTGAAAAAACAAAATGGGTAATCATGTGAAATAAATTCTTAAGGCCAAGAAAGGTCTACCAGATAAAGTGAACAAGACAAATCCACACAAGGACGAGAAGAAATATGACAAGCATACATCAGAGGCTGAACAATCTCAAACTGATAAGCAACATTAATTTTTCCAATCCAAGCAGGATCCAAACTGTTCATTATCACTTCTGTACGACCAAGTTCCTCTAAGGTTCCATCTCTTTTCTTTTGATATACTACTGCCATAGGATCACTCTGCAATGAAAAAATAAAATTCAAGGTCAAACCTTATTGTGAGAGTTTTGGTAGAATTCCTTGGTACATATCAGAGAGTATATATTTATCCATCAAGCCAGGTGGCCTTTGGTCTCCAGCTTGGTCTTTGATGAATTAATTATATAAAAAAATATTCATGAATTGGGAATTGGGAATTCCCCCTCATAGGCCATTGGAAATGAAGGGCATAAATCAAAATTTGTGGATCAAATATTTGATTTTGGCGACTCAAGAACTGTTTTCCCACATTTCCTGAGAGTTGGGAATGGTTATTCACAAATGTAATATGGTCCATTTAGTACACATAGAAATGTCTACAGAGAGCAGAATGGAGTCAGCACCTAACCGACCAACCACAATTGTATTAAATCCCTTTACAAGTGATGGGGAATTCTATTATGATATCTTTTTGTATGGGATTTGCTTTCCTATAATACAATAACAAATTTGTAGATACATTATCACAAACTGATATGAATATGGTGGAATGATAATGGGCTTATTCAACAATTCTCAAATTGAAATTCACAGTACCAACATTCAAATTCAAAATGATATACATAATTATCATTTACTATAAGTTTGCTATGAATGAACAATGAACCATTTAGCGTATTAATTTATTTTGCATCTCTCTGCCCCCCTCAGGTTCTTGTGTAATGGAAATTGTAACTGCCAATCATCCTGGTAATATTCTCCAAGGAATGGCAATTTGCTGCACTAAACAAGTACCCCACCTGACACCGCCCTGTCCTTATTAATAACAGGACAGTATGCCAGAGACCTGTATAGGGTCAAGGATAGAACATGAACATTAGACCACATAGGGTATGGGATGGATTGGGTGATTGTGCTTGCCCCTTTTATGATTAATATATTATTTACTAAAAAATTTAATAATACCAAAAACGCCATAACTTCTACTGCCAAGTTATCATGGAAACTGCTAAGATAGACTAGATAGTATATGAATCATGGTCCACATAAGGAACCAATAAAATTCTTTGTGGTACTGTTGATAGCTCATTAAAAATAAGGAAAATGAGATTAGAACTAAAGTGCATAGCAGCAACTTCCATTATAAACAACATGAGGTCATTTCGTTACTTATTGAATCTAACTGAAGTGAAAAAAGCAGCACGTACTGTAATTCTTTATGGTTGTAAAACTAGATGAAGATTATGAATTTTTTTTTCTTCTTACAAGTAAAAATGATTATGTTTTTATGAACCCCAAGTCCCCTCCCTGCTCCCTTTTCTTCTCCCCCATCACTCCTCGGGGCATTTCATTCCTCACACGCCTCATCATGTTTTGTCGTAGATTGGAGATGAGCCAGAGAGGTCACGTCATCTCAAATTTGCCCCATTGCCATCCCAATGTTGCCTTTTGAAATAAATTTATCATAATTGAGTGAAATAGTTAGCATTTAGGAATTGCAAAGCGGATCAGGTGTAGTTTGTTATAGCTGAATCATTGTCATATATTGATCATAGGTCAGTATATCTAATGCTGAATTTTCCTCAAATCGTAAATTATTTATAAACTATTACTTCCTTTTCTCAATTTCTTAAGCATTTCACTAAAAGCTCTATTTTTAAAATGTCTCCTCTCCAAAATTTTTTTTTTTTTTTTTTTTTTTTTGATAAGTAAAAATATATTAGAAAAACGTTCAAAAGGGGAACGCATCCCTAATACAAGAGAAAAGATCTAAGGACCAATAGAATCCAAGAGATCAAAGAAATCATCAATCGAGGAGCATGTACTTCCTCTAACATAAAAGAATAAAGAACGAAGAATATGAATTTTTAAATTAGCTAAGGACAATTCTTTTCCTTCAAAGGATCTGTTATTTTAAAACCTATAGCAATTTGCAACATACAAAATATAGGAAACGGTGTTGATGACTAGGATTCAAAACATAGAATAAGGCATTATAAAATACGTGCACTTCAAGCGTAGGCTCTTCAAGCATAGGCTCTTAGATTCAATATGGGCAGTTGAAAGTGTCATAGCAAGGTGTTTCTACTCTTATGAGTTATTGATTACCCTTTTTAAGGACATCTACCTACATTTTCTTAATTCCTGTAACATCTCTGTGTCTAGTGTAGACACTTCTTTTTGGTACAAAAATTTGTCACCCGAAAAACCAGATTCTCAAAGCCGGTCAATATACATAATAGTCACTGAAAATTAAACAGCAGAACCAATGAATAATTGCTGAGGCAGTCCTTCCCAGGCATCAACATAGAGACAAAGCATACTGAGACACAAACACTATGACAAACTGGTACAACATAAAGAAAGATGGATCCACAACAATATAATATTCAAATATAGCACCATTCCAAAAGTTCTGAGGGACAATAAAAATCAATATGAACCTTTCACAATGAAAATATAGTTATCACATCCTAAGATTTTAAACTACGTATTTAAGAACGTACCTTTGAAATGATGTCGCGGTCACGTAATTTTGAAGCAGCTAAAGATAACTGCATTTCATTATTGAAACACATTATTGCATCATGTACAATGAAATCAAATAGACAGTATATGAAAGACATGATAAGAAAATAGGTAAGCTTCAGACAAGGAAACTCAACCCTGGCCCTAATTGACTAAACGTATAGCAATACAATTACCTTAGATAAAGAAAAGGAAAATAAAGGAAACGAAAAAAAGAAGACTACTATGCTGCAATTTGGTCCATTGGCATTTCCTTTCGGCAGTGGTATTGTTACTCCAGAAGTTGTGTAGAACTCCACTCTTGTTCGGTGAAGAGATAAATTCATGGTCCACAACTTACAAAATATATTTTTTTCTCAGGTGATAGACAGTTGAAATATTCTGTCCAATCCAAACACAAAAATACGCTTTTTATTGTAAATCTCGTGTTGGATATGATGCCAAAAAAAAAAAAAAAAAAAAAAAAACATCTTTCTCTTGACACAACAATACAAGTTGCAAAATGCTGTTTAGGCACAGCCGCTCAGTATACAATCTTATTTTCAACCATTAACATATCTCATTCGTATGGTTTGCACTGCTGAATGTACATCCATATCACATACAACACTATTTGGATCCAACATTAGAGGACAAAATCTTATAGAAAGAACATAGTTGGCCTACTTGATGACCAAATCAGATGTTTAAAGTGTATAAGAGTCTTAAAAACAATCAAAAACATATTTTAACCATTCCTCAGGGTCAAATTGAATAGTAGAATACAAGTAAGGATCCAGTTGACCAAGATATGCATGAAGGGGCTAAAAGCTACAATTTAATTTCTTTTTCTTTTCTTTTTTGCCAACTTGATGGAATCTCAATCATTATTTAATTTTTTCTTAATTTCAGGACAAATGAGATTCTAAATTCTGGAATCAACAGCTTTCTCCTATACTTAAAGGTTCAAAACACATATAGTGGAACAAGTCTTGCTTTGACTCATTTTGGGAGGCAACAGACAAGGTCATGTTTTGGTCAATTGACTTTGAAATAATGACCAGTGGTGGAATAAGTCAACCCTCTGAACCTTCTTGCTCCCCAGTGCCCTGGAAAGCCCTGTGCAATTGAGAGGATTTTTCTCCCAAATAAATACCAACATACTAGTGTGATAATATCAATAGATAGATCTTGGCAGAGATCGTCACTTGTCAAAGTCATTGAGTTTTAAGAATCAAACATTTTACATCCATGTAATTCACTATCTTTAGCACTTTTTTAGTTTTTAGTTTTCTTTCTATAAATCCAAGAACTTCTCCCATTCTAATCAGAAAAGAAAGGTGTCAAAGCACACTCAATAACAACAATTCCACTGAACATTGCTCGGCATCTCTATCCATCTCCCGTAAACAGCTCATTTCTCTCAATCCAGACAGATCTATGAAAAGATTGGCCACATGATTCATATTCATGTCCTGCATAATTCTCTCTACTGTTACATATGAATCAAACTGCACCCGCGCACAGTCCGAGAGACACACTAAACTAAAAAGAAGGGCGAATTGGGTAAAATCCCATCAAATTCCTCCAATTTTCATGGGATTTGAGGACACTGTATTTTGGGATTTCAAATAGCATGAAATCCAATTTCATTTTAACTTCCTTTGATTCTTCCATTTTGCATTCTAAATCCCAACATTCCAAACACAATGTAAAAAAGAAAGAACACGTGAGTTTAAGTTGATCCAACGTCACCAAAGACTGTAGTCTAGTGGTATTTCTTCCCATTCCAAAATAGAAAGGGTTGGGTTCAAGATCATGCCAAGGTAAAAAATAAATAAATAAATAAAACCCGGATCCTCTGCTGTATTTTTCCAGTGGTGCTGTAGTGATGCTATAGGGTTTTCTCACCACCATTACATCTGTTTTCAACACATTTAATAATATGTAATGGTGTTGAAAAACAGATGTGTAAAAAAACATATGTAAAGGTGTTTGAAAAGCGTGTTGAATATTAAAAGGGGAGAGAGAAAACTAGGGTTTGTGGTGAGGATGATATAAAGGTAGTGTGACAAGTGTAACATTGAAACCTAGTTCCGTGTGTGTGTATATATACCTCGATCTGTGTAAAGAGGGCACCAAGGCCCTTTGTTCTAAAGAAGTAGTCAACAGCGTCATTGTGTCCTCCGGCTCCACCGCCATCGTTCGTCCGTAGGGGCCTCTGTTGGGCCCCTCCTCCCACTGCTTGTTGCCCTCCTCGTTGGTCCGAAAAGCACCCTCCCATCTCTCTCTCTCTCTCTCTCTCTCTCTCTCTCTCCTCCCTCTTTCTCTCCCTACAATATACACACTCTCCTTTGTCAAACTCCAAATTTCGAAAACCAGCAATTCCAAATCTCCTCTCTCTTCTGGTTCCCCAATTTAAAGAGAGCTGTTTACTTGGAACTGAAGACTACCTTCTCTCTCTACAAGTTTATTTACACAATAAAAATCTCCCTTGAGTTATTTACACAATAAAAAGAAGCGAGCGCGTTTTGGGTGGAAAAATTTTGAACTTTCCAAGTTTCTCTATCTTCTTTCTAATCAAAGATATATATATATATATATATATATATATGAATTTACGTCTTTGAGTCTTCAAAAAAAAAAATACTGTGATAATCATGACTTGTGGGTTTTTAAAAATAAAAAATAATGTTAGTAAATAATTACACAAGCAATTTATTTGTGACGTGAGAATTTATGGAGGTGAATATTGTTGTGGGATGGTGGGACCGTGGGACTAGTGCTGGCATTGTCATCCTTTTTACTAGTTCCTTGGAGGAAGATTTGTTGGAATAAAGGAAGCCCTGCCACGTTTTTTGCAACTTGTTTAATTTTTCTTGATAAGCAAAAAGAGAGTGCATTCTTTGTTTAAATTTGATTTGTGATAATAGATTTACATAAAAAAAATTTAAATTATTTAGTTTTAGCTCTCTGAATTTATAAATTGATACGTGATATTAAAATTTATTTATTATCTGTGTTAAATAACATTTTGAGATATGAAAAATTTACTAAAATTTAAAAAAGATATCTTTTTAAGATTAGAAAAATTCACCATACTTTAATGGTCATTCTCTCTCTCATCGTTTCCAAAAAAAATATTGTTCCCTCTCTCTCTCTCTTCTTTCTCATTCCCATGCGGGGGAATATTTCACGCCAAAAATAAATGTTCTTTCCTCCTATTTTTGTTATTACTTCTCTTGTTGAGTATAGCTCCTTACCTTTCAAGGAATGGAATCACTTAAAAAAATAAACAAATAAAAATAAAATAAAATAAATTTAACTTGGTGGACTAAATTATGCAGAGAGTATGATATATGGTTGCTTTAGTTAAATTTTGATTCCAGAATCAAGATTTCATTCATTTTTGGCATGAAATATTTCTCAATTGTGGGAATGAGCAAGAGGAGAGAGACTTGAGCAATCTTTTTATGAGGGAGAGAGAATGACGTTAATGTCGTTATAATATGGTGAATTTTTCTTATCTCAAAACGTTACCGTTTTCAAACTTTAATAAATTTTTTTTTATCTCAAAACAATGCAATTTTCAAACTTTTTTAAAATTAGTTGACATGATTTAACACAAACACTAGATAGATTTAACACAAACACTAGATAGATTTTAAATGTCAATCTGTAATGAATTCAACTTAGGATAACTTAAAGATCCAAGTCCCAAGTCCCTCTGCACCGTATTGAGATAAGAAAATTTTCATAAAGTTTGAAAAATGTACCGTTTTAAAATAAGAAAAATTCACCATATTTTAACGACGTTAATAACGTAGTTTTCTGTCCATCATCTTTTCCAAAAAAGATCGCTCATTCTCTCTCCTGTTGCTCATTCCCACAATTGGGGAATATTAATTGTGGGAATATTTCGCGCAAAAAAATGAATGTTCTTTCCTATGATTTTTAGCGCTTAGAAGCTCTGGTTCACTCTCTTTTTCTTTTTTCACTCTACTCTGGTTCACTCTCTTTTTCTGAAATTTAAATTGTAAAATTCCTCTCTTTTTAAAAATTTAAAGTGCAAAATCCATTATAGAGGCTTAAATATTCCCCCAGTCGTGGGAATAAGCAAGAGAGGAGAGAGAGGGAGCACGGCGCTAACGTCATTAAAGTATGGTGAATTTTTCTTATTTCAAAACGGTATTGTTTTCAAGCATCACTGTTTTCAAGCATCACGTGTCAATCAGCATAGAATTCAACTTAGAATAATTTAGAGAAGATTTAATTCAGAGAATCCAAGTCTTTTTTTTTTTTTTTTTCCAACGACTTTCACCCGTTAGCAAACCCTTATGAATTTTTGTGGCAAAAAATCCCCCTCAACTATCATGAGGGGGTATTTTAACTGCATTCTGTTTAAGGGGTTATGTTTTGGATGAAAATACCCCTTAAACATTACACTATTCCGGACATCACCAACGAACGCCTCCATCAACCCTGAGGCCGTTATTCATGGAGAGTAATTTATATCTATACATACTCACATCATTTATAGCCACTGTTCCCTTGTTGAATTGAAACCTAACCTCACAAACAAGAATCCCCCGCCAAGTCAATTTACAAGACTCCATTTCTAGGGTTTTCATTCCAACTCCAATTCTTTCTTGTTAGATCAAGAGGGGGTGAATTGGTCTAATTAAACTTTTTCTTCAATGAAAGCAACACAAGTTATGCACCAATTAAGCACATAACACAAGGTATACAAGGAAACCCTCTGAATATTGAAAAACCTTGGTTCTTGGTCTCAGCCAATAAAAACATCAACTAGTTGTATGTATCTTGTTACACACTCAGCTGTCTCACTCTCTGCATACACCCATGCACTAGAATAGACACTAGTTTTCACAACCAATACACACACACTAGTACACCACAGTGCATTCATGCACTCCCTCTGTCTGAAGCACCCACGCTTGGACCTAATAAGCTCTCAATAACTTAACCAACAATAGGGTGATGGATCTTACCTCACTACCATTATCATCAATGGGGTGAAGACGTAAAGCCTCACTACCATTTACAATAAGTGTCAACACACTAGTTCATCAACAACACTTGTTGTATGCAAGTAGTTACTCACTCAGCTTCCCCACTTTCTAACCACCTTGTACTCTCACCGGGACACTGACTTTCACTTCACTTACACACACACAAGCTTCAACAATATGTACATATGCACTCCCCCTGTCTGAAGCAACCCTGCTTGGACTTACAAGCTCTCAATAGCTAAATCAACAATAGAATAAGGTGTCAATACACCAAGTACACAATGTTTCAACTGCAACGCAAGATAAGAATGAACACACACAGCTTGAAGTAGAACAATGTGAAACCCTAACTTTCTTTTCACTGTAACTGGAAGGATTGAACTGTAAAATCACAATGTAGCTTCACGTATAGCTCACACTAGGTTCCCACAGCCTTGAATTAGTTCAACTGACTTGCTCAAATAATTCTTGATCAATAGACAGCAAGTACACAACACGTTCAGCATACAAGGCTTCAAAACCCTAAGAAGGGTAAATCAGTCAAATCACCTGAACCTTGAGTAAATGCAGGTTCTTACAGCTTCACATAATCATAGCACACTTGCACAAACAATGTCTTCAATAAGCTCAGTAAGATTATCACACTTAAGCACAAACAGCTTCAGCACAGAATAGCCTCGGCACAGAATATCCTCAGCACAGAGTAGCTTCAGCATAGAATAGCCTCAACACAGAGTAGTTTCAGCTCAAAACAGCTTCAGTTCAGAATAGCCTCAGCACAGAATAGCTGTGTCAACCTTAAGAATAGACCACAACAGCTCAAGACCCAAAGTCACTACCCAATATAGCTTTTGCATTAGCTAATTTGACAGCAGCCTCATCTCAGCAATCAGTATACACCTCAGAATTGATTCAATGAGTTTTTCTTGCATAGATCAGCATCAAACAGTCCAGAAAAACTTGCTTGACATAGTATGCTTGAGATCTTCAGTTATATTTCAGATTAATACACATGCTGAGATAGAAATCACATCAAGAATAGCCTGGTATATACTCTTCAAAGCTCAAATATCAATTTTCAGGCTTAAACCTCTAATAACTTAGATCTACAAGACCGAACACCAACATGGTCAGGTTTGTGGCAACCTTTTAATTTAAATAGCCTTAAATCAGTGATTGAAACTTTCTAGAATGCTTAACATGTAACTCATAGCAAGATATAGGCAGTGTATACTCAAATCAGTAGGCTAAATCAGAAAACAGGCTTGACAGAGGATTTAAGATATCAAAACTTACTTCAGCTCAACTTTGTATAAGTGAGCACCTCCTGCAGATGTAAAAATCACAAGCAAACTTGCTTGAGCCTTGTTCGAACCATAAAAACCTCCACAATAATTTCTGAACCTCCATAGCCCCCTTCTTACACCAGAAACTCAGCAACATTGGATCTTTAATGCTTTAGTGATTTAATGTCCCTTTTCTTGTTGATTTCAAAGATCAAATTCAGCTCAGAACCTTACAAATTCTCTCTGACAATCACTCACATCTTAACTCACGAGACTCTCATTCACAGCGGCTCAATTGAAGCTCATGGAGCCTTAAGTCAGTGCACTGTAAATTCAAAAGGCTCAAAACCTAAGGAGCCTTATAACAGCATATTTATAGTGACACTGAATTGCACAAGGCCTCACACACCACGGATATACACCTGTCACCTCAAGCCAATGATTGAGAGAGCATATTTCAGATATTTTCAGAGCAATGGACCAATGCAGACCTGCTACCTCAGCTAATTTTGTCACTATTCTACCAGCTACACCAGGTTACAAGTTTGAGTACTGAATTCTATTTCTGTCCAAACTTAGCCTCTAAGGAATGAAATATTCTTTCATATACCAGCTCTATAGGACCACTAAGACGTGTCATTTGAATATTCATTGTACAGCCTTGTGACCACAATTGTATATGGTCTTCCAGAAATGTCCTTCAACTTGACACTTGTTGTGTATACAAGAGACTTAATACTTCTCGGCCAGTTAATACAATATACCTTCATACAAGGGATTTAAATTGTCTCTGTCAACTAAATTGACCGAGATACCCATGAGGATGTCGATAAGATTACATAATTGCCCTTTACAGTTGACACTTGTCACTTGAACCAGATGTTGCTTGCTGCAGGATGACACTTGTCACTTAAACTAGATGTTGCTTGCTGCAGCCCATTTAGCCGTCGGCGGCTTTGCATATAAATGCCTTCAGCTTATTTAGCCTTCAACATTCAGCCTTATATAGAAATGCCTTTAGTCTTCAGCCTTCATCCTTTAACTTTCAGCCTTGTATCTTCAGCCTTCATCCTTTAACTTTCAGCCTTGTATTCAAGAACAAACCTTAAGATAGGTGATACCATTTAGCCATAGGATTGGTATTTTGTCATTCAAAGAGCAAACCACATCAACATTTCTCCGTGGTCACTTTTTTATTTTTTCAAAAAGTTCTTTGATTTCACATTTTTTAAAAGAATAAGGTTATGATTTTTGCGAGTTTGGAATCTTCCAATCAATGTGATTAGCTGCATTGAAGCTGCTGAGCTCCAATCTGGATAAAAGCTTGGGTTTTTTTTTGGATCAATGTGGAGTCAAATATGCCATCAATGGCAGTGACTGCGAATAATGAAGGTAGGGTTTCGACGACTCGCGAGCGAAGCGGCGACAGACGGTGTTGCAGAGACAACAACGACAGGGACCTTGCGGCAACAGATGGACTTGTTGCCGGTACAGACGACTCGAATCCATTACAATCCGGTATGTCGGTGCACCGCCGATCGCCATTTTCAACAGCAAAGGTCCCCGCGCCGGCGACTCGCGTGAGGTTGTTGACGAGTTTGGTGATAAATCCTGAGAGCTCTATGCCGGTGTACATCAGTTCTGGTACGGCAACTTGCTAGCGTAGTTGTCCACCTGAAATAGCATGGATTACAACTCATTGCCCAATCGTCGGATGAGAGGACTCCTTATCGGTCGGTCACAATCCAGCGGCACGGAAGGCTAAGATGGGGTTCGCCCTTCTTGTTGTATGTTTTGGGGAAAGGTCCAGTGCCTTTTCGCACACCCACTTGAGTAATACGCAGAGAGGGGGTCAACCTTCACATCCATCCTTACACTAACATGTGCCTTAACTGTGTAACTAACGTGTGTTTTAACCCGGTTGTGGCATCAACGATGCAGTGGAGGAAGAAGACCCAGATAAGAGCTTCAACCTTTTAAGGGGCATTTTCGTCCAAAAAATAACTCCTTAAACGGACATCCGTTTAATTACCCCTCATGATAATTGGGAGGCATTTTTTTTGTCAGAAAAAGGAGTTTTTTTTGCTGACAGGTGAAAGTCGGTTTTTTTTTTTTTTTTTTGGCTATTCACCTAATTAGCTAGCAGAAAAAATATGTATATTGTAATTACAATCGACAAGTTGATACATAGTATGGAAATTGATTAGGGATTCGGGGAAAAGTGTACTTGTGAAGGAATGCTCAGCTGAAAGCGAATGAATTATAAAAAGGACATCAGTTTAATTACCCTTCATGATAGTTGAGAGACATTTTTCTGCCACAAAAAAGAGGTTTTTTACTGACAGGTGAAAGTCAAGGAATTTTTTTGCTAATGGGTGAAAGTCAGGGGACTATAAAATGACGTCGTATAGAATTAATAAAGAGCTCTCAGTCTGTCCATTCTTACTATGTCTGGACCTGATAAGTTTTTCCGTGTTGAGTCAAATTAAGCCGCAGGCTCCACTCCTGGTGGTGCCCTTCGTTAATTCCTTTAAGTTTCAGCCTTGCGACCATACTCCCCCCGGAACCACGTCGTCTTAATTAGTACTGTAGTATAGAAGACACCTTAATTAGTACTGTAGTATAGAAGACACCAGTGTGCTAACCTTAATTAGTACTGTAGTATAGAAGACACCAGTGTGCTAGATGTACGGTTAAATGTATAGAAGACACCAGTGTGCTAGATGTATGTTAAATGTTTGTATTGTGATCCAATAATTCCGTATCTTATTATTTGAGGAAATAATTATTTTCCATTAGTACACTGAACACTGTTAAATTCAAAAAAATGTTAAATTCAAAAACTATATTTATATTAAATTTATCTTCTCATTTAACGTTATGTCATTTATTTTTAGCCACATGACATCACAGGATTTCACGAGATAAATATTCATTAATTATATATTTTCTTAATTAACCCTCCAACCCTTCTTGTTAGTAAACCCTTCCTATTATTAAACGCTATCCTATTAAATATTAAACCATATCCTATTAAATATCTGTTACCATATCTCAATCTCTAACTTTTCGTGCCTCTTCTCTTATTTAACTACTTGTCATGTTTTGATAAATATTCATTAATTATATATTTTCAATTATATATTTTCTTAATTAACCCTCCAACCCCTCTTGTTAGTAAACCCTTCTTATTATTAAACTCTATCCTATTAAATATGTGTTACCATATCTCAATCTCTAACGTTTATCTCTTACTTAACTACTTGTCATGTTTTGTTCTGTGTTTGGCGACGATAAATAAGGGCCCGTTTACAATACGTTGTGTTTTGTTTAAAACAAAACAAGTGTTTTGTCATGTTATGTTCTAAGATGCGACGAAAAATTTCAGTGAGAATTTTGGAACAGAATCATTGTAAAATATGTTTGGCAGATATTTCGTTTCAAAAAATTATGAAAACAAAACATGTTTGACAGAGTCAAACTGTAACAAAAAATTAGTGACAATATAAATTGTGTATAACAATAATTGACAATATGAAAACATGTAATTCCATTTAAATTGATATCATTCCTATATAAAACTTTTGAATAATGATGAATACCATTCCATTAAAAATCATTATATACCATTCCATTAAAAATCATTCTATTTGAGCTTTATAAAACTTGCATATAATCAATAATCCATTTCATACAGTTAAAATTAAAAGCATTTACAATACTGATCATGTGTATAATGAACCATCTACCAATTCAAATTCATTTTATACTCGGGGAGGCAAACTGAAAAAATTTCAAAGTTGTCCAACCTCCTCCAAGTCCAGCATTACTGAAGGAAACAAATGTCCACTCATTTTTAAAAGCTGTCCAACCTCTTCCAAGTCCAGCATTACTGAAGGAAACAAATGTCCACTCATTTCCAATATTTGTCAACAGCATCACCGTTAGCATTGGAAGATTTTAATATAGAAGCACAAGTGCATTCCACTCCAAAAAAGCAGTTGATGCTGAGAATGTATTGATGGATGCCTGAATTTTTTCTAATGTTCTTCCCTTGGCTTCGGGTACTACATTGCAAGATAACTATAATGGAATGCAGTTATTAATTATGCCATGAAAAATGTTAGATTCATAGTCAAATGTCACAAAGAAGTACTTAGAAATGAGGAATTTAAAGGTTATTCAAATACCTCATACGTTATCACCCAAGAAACTGCCCCCATTCCAATAGAAAATAATGCTAATATATCTTAGTGCTAGTGCTAAATTAAAAAACCCAAGGTTCACATATTTTTCACACTTCCAATTTCAATTTCAACTTTTCGAGTCCACTATCCATTTTTCATTTCTCAAATCAATTCACAAAGATAAAAATTCCAATTAAACAAACAAAGGCCCATTTCACATATGCCCAAACTCCTCAACAAAAACAACAACAATACTGCCCAATCCTCCATTCACAAGGCAGCAACCCAACAAAACTAAATCACAGTCCCAAATTTCATTTTTGTCTCAGTTTATCTCAAAAACATTACAGTGTATTTCATTCAAGTCCCACAATGCAAATTTGTTCAATTTTAGTCCATAATGTTTTTTCAATTTTCTGTTTTTCAATTTGTTTTGATTTTTCAGTTTTCAATTTACAGAGAAGGTGAATATATATACAAAGATGAAATATAAAACAAAAAAAAAAAAAATGAATAACAAAATTTGGGTTTTTAATGTCTTTTACTGAAATTTGTTTAGTTTATGAAAATTATTTACAATGAATTTATTTGTTAGACTCAAGTAAAGGTGGGTTGGTGGCAGCACAAAATATTAGTTGTGTTTCAAAGGTCTTGGTTCAGTTTGTATATATCTGCACCCAGGTGATTATTTATATTTTGCAGTCAAATTAGTGGTGAATTAACAAGGTTAGTGAGCGTATCTATGTCATTTGAGCAAGTTGTGGAATTAGTAGAGGAAATGTCAACCATTTCACAATGATGTTAGAAGATCTTGATACATATATATTTCATTCTTAAGGAAAACTGAGAATGGTGTTAATCTCCTACATTTTTTAGTAGCTCAATTGTATGTAAACACCATTTAGAGTGGAACAGGGCCATTCATATTCAAGATACTTCCAGATGTGCCCAATCAAGTAAATTGAGATTGAATATGTTGATTCTATATACAGTTTTGAGGGGTCATAATCTAAAAGGTAAACTCAATTAATTAAAAAAAAAAGAGAAGTCAATTAATGTAGTATGTTTAAAACACATTATGGAAGTGAAGAGTTTTTCATGTGAAACAAAGGTCGCAAAGAGGGCTTCCAACCAAACTAGTTTGAAGTGAAGCTGAAATAGGTGGGTTCAAGCCAAGCATCAAAACGGGGCTTTCAAAAACTCATAATCAAACATTGATTAAGAACCCAAATCAGAAACAAATCAATATATCAATCCAATCAAACACCATCAAACATGTATAGCATACGTTTATTGAAGTGGGAAGATGTAAATTACCTTCTTCTCAGGTCAGAAGGGTGCCGCCGGAGTGACAGAAGGCAGCGGCGAAGCTTTGGGTTCGCCGAAAAACGCAGACGTCAGAGAGAGGGAGCTTCTCTTCAGATCTAGGATCGTTTTCAGTAACAAAGCACAAACAGTTTGGAATCGAGAAAGGAATCGGCAAACAAGATCGCACAAGAGCTTGCCGGAGTGACAGAAGGCAGCGCCGAAACTTTGGGTTCGCCGGAAAACGCAAAGGTGAGAGAGAGGGAGCTTATCTTCAGATCTTTACACATTTTCAGCAACGCACGAACAGTGTCGGAATGTCGCCTCCGTAATCGGCAGACGAGAGTGCACAACAACCCTAGAATTTGTTCCAACTTTGTTTATATACCTGTACTGGGTTGGGCCAACATGTTCTCTCCGCTACAGTGCATGTGTAGCCCAAATATTTGTTGGAACAATGGTGTTCCAACTTTGGGCCCGAATTCTTGGAACGTTGTGGATCTGTTGAAAACAAAATAAGGCGGGCCAAACATGTTTTGGGCTGAAATAGTGGTACTGTAGCGGGTCTGGAACAAAACAAAACACAAACCAAACATGCCCTAAATCAATGCTACTAGCTCGTCGTTATCTATATAATAATACCATTGTTTTAATGTTTGTGTGTGTATTTGTGTGTGTATATATATATATATATATATATATATATTTTCCTCTTGAGCATATCTATAGTTTTCACTTTGAGCAAGCTTAGATGTGTGAATAGTTTTGTAATACATTTTTCATTTTGAGCAAGATTGGATGTGTACTGGGACGTGAAAAAACAAAAAAAAAGAAAAAAAAAAAGAAAAGAAAGAAAGATGTGTGCCGGAATAAAAATTAAATAAATAAATTGTTTTCTGCTTTGATATTCAAAATCAACTTGGAATATGAAAAATTAACAAATAATAATAATAATAATATAAACACGGAATATAATTAAATCGTTCTCTCTTATTGATTCACACAACACAATTTTCAATTACATTTGTTTTTTATATATATAATCTTAAAATATGTAACCACTTAAAGATATAATATTTAAATATATTAAATCTTTAAATATTTTTTCCGAGAAGTTGAAGTACTAAATTACTAATTACTTGAGTCAAGACAGTAATTGTTAAAAAAAAAAGTACATATTTGTATATTAGTTTTATACTGTAATATAAAATATATGGAGTATATTAATTGAATATAGCATAAATAACTGGGATAGGTGGTGTTTGAGTTTTGTACGCCCACTAAATTGGAATTGGGCCCAGCATTTTTCAATCGCCTTTGCAATGGATAGTTGTTACGGGATTGGGACCTTGACAAGCTCCTGACAGTCATGGGATGCTGTCAGCGTGCACTAGGGGTGTTCAGTGGCATTTTCGTAAATATAGCGAAAAAGTGAAGCTTGGAGTTTTGGTTCGGGATCTTTATGGGAGGTACCTTGAGTCCATAGAAAATGGTTGGCACAGACGGCACTCGATTTGGATGTCGTGCACTTTGAGACATTTATATGTGGGTGCAGATTAGTGGGCTTAGCACGGGCTAAGTTCACAAGGTTGGCTCAGATGTTGCTTAAAGTATGGACCACACAAGTTATGGACGTGTGACATAGTCAAGTCAAGGACATGGGCACAAGGCAGTGGGTGTAGGCAAGGCTCAGCGTGCAAGGTTGGCTCAGGGGACTCAGACATGGCTTATGGTTACAGAAGATGGCTAAGTGGGCTCAGGTGGTTGGGGGAAGTTAACTTCCCACTGAGTGGGCTTAGTTGGTTGGGGGAAGTTACATTTCCCACTGAGTAGGCTTAGTTGGTTGGGGGAAGTTACATTTCCCACTGAGTGGGCTTAGTTGGTTAAGGGGAAGTTACTAACACTTCCCACTAAGTGGGCTCAGTTGGTTGGGGGAAATTACTAACACTTCCCACTCGTGTGCATATATTATGGGGAGTGGGGGTGTGTTGAGTAACTTCCCATGCATGTGGCAAAGATCTGAGAGGACAGCACACAGGTGGTTAGAGTCAGTTTTCTTCCACTATACTGATATATAGAAGGTGGCAGATAATGTGTAACTTCATGTGGACAAGTAGCATGAGCAAAGCGTGCCAACAAGCTAGTAGTTGGGCTTGTCAACTACATATGTAATGTTGGCACACTTAGCGGGTGCCAACATAACCCTAGGTGGATGGGGGTGTCATCCACCACTTTAGTGAGTAGTTGTGGGTAGATGGGGGTGTCATCCACCACTTTAGTGGGTAGTTGTGGGCGGTTTGAGAGTTTGCCTATATATTGCTAATGTGGGTTCTATAGAAAGGGCAGATTGAGAGTGAGACACAGAGTTGTGTTGTGAGAGACTCTTGTATGCTTTTGTAGGTTGAGGCATTTCCTTGTACTGTTTTGTGAATAATAGTAAAAGGTTTGAAGTCTTGTGCTTCTGTAAATTCGTGGGTGTTATTGTCCTTACATTCTTGCAACTATACTTGTGTGTGAGAGTGTTTTACTTGTTGTGTGTTCTAGGCAGCAAGTGTGAGTTGGCTGAGCTAAGTTAGAAATTCTGAGTTGGCTGAGCTAAGTTAGAAATTCAGAGAAAAGTTGTTCATATTTCTGGTTTAGTGCCATCATAAGCCACTAGATTTGTATTCAGAATTTACCCCTGTGACAATAGTCCATTACTATTAAGGTAATTTTCAAAATAATATAACTAGTATTAAGGTAAAATATAAAATCACTTTTAAATATCTAAAATATCAACTTTATTTTTTCCACATAAGTGGATTTTTTTTTTTTTTTTTATAAGGATATAGAGAAGGGAAGAGGGGGACAAATAAAGAAAACTATCCGTAAGCATACATGTGTCAAATTGACAGTTGCTGAAATCTTTCAATCAACTCCAATATAACAACTACTAGTCATTAGGTAGAAACTGAGGAAAGTTTCCCCAGTTTCTACCTAATGACTAGTTGCTGTTTATCAGAGTTGTCTTTTCCTCACCCCGTTGAGGTTCTCTGTTTCATCAGAGTTTGGCTCTCTCTGTTTCATCAGAGTTTGGATTTCTTTCTAATAGGGTGTTTTGGGGGATGGTTATCCTCACCCATCCCAAACGAAGCTTATCTCCGTTAGCTAGACGGATTGGCTCTTGTATGTTCTTACTCGTTTCATAGCTAATTTGGATCGGTGCAATACCTGCTGACCTATGTTTGCCGATTTTTCCGTTTGATCTAGGTATTTCTACTGTTTTTCTTGGTTCTTTTCTGGCTCTAATGTTCTATGTCTGTTGTCTTGTGTGTGTTTTTTGTTTGTTTTCTTTTTTTGCGATCCAAGAGGACCAAATAGGATCATCGGTCGATTTGCTATCTTGTTCATCAAGCTCGCCGGATTCGGTTCCTCGTGCCTATCAACGTTTTAGGATACTGTTCATGTAGGTCGACATGACGTCATCTCTGGTGTTGCTTATGTTGACTGGTGTATCATCTACGCTTTCGTTTTGGTCTACATTCTTATGGAAGGTATTGTTAGGCCTGTGGCCTTTGGGCTTTATGATTTCCACTATGGGCATAGTTTTGAATTTTCTATCCATTCCAATAGTGGGCTTGGGCCATTATGCATATTTTAACCCACTGACTGATTGGGTTGACTCTATTGAGCCCAAGTCTTTGGTGAGTTATGTCCCGTTTTCGCAGCCTGCAATGAATCAAGTTTGGTAAAAGTTTTGGCTGGGTTGGTGCCAAGTCATGTGGGTATTGGTGGTATGGTGCGCAACTTGGCTAGAGGAGACAGACATGTTTGTGGAGCTCTTGTGCGTCTTTCTCTTGTGGTCATATCTTGGCTCCCTCTCGATCTGTTTTAGATCATCATTTGTCGACCAAGTTCTATCTGGGAGGTTGTGTAAAGCGGTGCATCTTTTTTTTTTTTTTTTTTGTGGTACTGGTACTCCCACTGTAACTGACACATTTTCTTGGTTTGTCAAGACTGTGATCTTGACTATAAGGGGTGTTAGTTTTGTTATATTTGTTATTCTATGTGGTTTTTGTATGGGTGCTGTAGCTTGCTCCTTGCCTGTAAATGTCGTATGGCAGCGCTTTTCTTGCCAGGTTAAAAAAAAAAAAATGAAAAAAAAAAGAAACTGGGGATATATAGGTGAAATCTGTTGCTTTGTCCGAACTTCTTGTTTCAAAATTCCTTATCTAGTTTAAGAGTTGGATAAGGCATTCCATTTTCTCAACAGTACAGACAACTGTAAAGTCTAGCTTGAAAGTGAAAGAATCAATAAAAAAATTTCTAACTTCAGTTTACACCACCATCTCAAAACTATAAAAAGATTTAAATTCATAATTAATATCCTAATATTTATCATAGAATCTCTACTTATAACATACAATCATACTAAATAGCCGATAGAAAACGTAATGCACAAATAGTGTGAGTAGTGTGGTTGTGCATGAATATTGTCATGTCTTGCGAAAAACATCTCAGTTGCAATCTCAACCAGTAGAATTTTTCTTTGTGGAACGGATCCTCTCTAAGGAAATTTCCATGTCTTGTGAAAAATCTCTAAGCTGCAATTTCAACCAATGGAATTTTCTTTTGTGGAACGGATCCTCTCCAAGGAAATTTCTCTACTAGCATCTCAAGGATTTAATCCTACGGCTATTATAGCGCCACATCACCAACTTACCATTCCATCATTAATTTACCAAACTTAATTAATTAACTAATAAATATGGTATCTTTTGGACTAAAATTTCCAGCATAACAATTACTTGCCTATTAATCGAGTTAGTATTTTATGAATTGTTTTATGCTAAAAAAAAAAAAAAAAAACCTCCATATTGTTTATCGAAACTATCTACTAACCCCCTCAAGTATTAAAAAACCCCTCGATATAACATAAACTATCACATTGCCCCCATTTCGTCACAGAACCGTTAAGTTCCTGCGAAATGAGAAGAATACCCTTGATAGTATATTAATATTTATTTAAAAGTTAAATGTGTTCTTTATAAAATGACAAGAATACCCTTAATAGTATATTAATATTTATTTATATAGATATATATATAATTATAGTATAAAGAAAGCCCTAATTTCCTACCTTATATAGGAAATTAGGGCTATATAGATTTAGTGACGAATGGTGGCGGCTACGCTGAATCAAGTTCTTCACCAACCGATTAAAAAGTGCTTCTTTTAGATAGGGAATTGATAGCAACAAACCAAAAATCATCGATGAGCGCCCCTGTGTGGGCTTCTGCAGTTGACGAACTCAGGGCGATTTGGCCGTTTTGTTGTGTAGATGTGGTGGTCAAAGATTTACAGCGGCGGCC